TTATTTAGTACTTGGAAGGGTTTTTCCAAATAATAATGATGAAATGAATGGGTATTCAATGAATGGTGTACATTTTTTGCGTAAAAAATGTACATGTACTGCCAAAATATCATTTTAATGCCAAGCGACTACAAATGACTGCGAAGAAGACTGCCTATGACTGCTATATAATTATTGTAGGCGACTGCCGTAAGACTGCCAAGGACTGCTAGGCCTGCAAGGACAAAATGTACATGTAATTTCAATAGTGAGACACCCCTCGGCCGAAACCAAAACATGAAAAAACGTTTGCACAACTTTTGCATAAAATTATCTTGGAGATAATATTTGACATTTTCAAAATTTACACTTTTCTATGTCCCGTGTTCCAATGCACCACACGGTATATGGGCGGAGGGTACCGCGACCTTACAGATCTATTGTGTCCCACTTTCTTGAGTTATGACAAGTTATAACGCATCATACAGTCTGTTTGCAAAAGCTAGGACAAATCTGTGTGTAGCATAATATTTAGTTTCATAAAAAGTAGCATCACAGATTAGGTATCCTATAAGTATACACATAAAAATATTGTTCCTAATTCGTGGTACGAAAATTGTTTTTTATGACGATGTGCAAACGGGTCAAATTTCCTGTGCGCAAAAATAAACTCGCGTAAAATAACAATAAACAGCGTAATAGAGAGATATCGCTAAACCGAATAGCGTGCATGGACGTTAATAAGGCCAGGTGATATTTCCTTTACGTGAGGTGGTATTAACTCTCTTCATTTATAGTTATCGGATCGGAAAGAATTCTGATCGCGTCACGTCCGCTATTTAAACTTAACCTAACTTTGAATTTAAAACTTTGAAATTGTTTTCTTTACCAGGTATTTTAAAACTAAAGGGCTAAAGTGCTTATTTCCAGTGCTTTATTGTTCAACGTCTGCCAGTGGGTTTAGGGCGACCAGCAACAAATTCTCTTAGAAGGGCTAAGTCGTCATCTGCTGTAAACCTAAGACTCTTTATAGGTTCTTTAGTATTGGAAGTCCACCTCTTCCCATATTTTGGGCCATATTTATTTAATTAAAAGTAATCTCAGCTACTTAAATATCAAATTACCTAATAAAACCAAAGCAATAATTCAAAACAAGTCAAACATAACCTAAAATAAAAGATCTCGCCGGCCGGCTCCGGTTGTCAAATACCCGCACATGCCCATTTAAGCAATTTTTAAACGTTATCAGAGGTTATTTAGAAAGAACGCTTGGTGTAATTGATCCGCAAATTACGTCAGGCGGTAACGTTATTAGCGGGTGTTGCGTTAAAAATTGACTCGCGCATATCGTAACCATGATAAGGTACGCGTAAATACTGGATGACGCTATTCGGTTTTCCAATATCTCTCTAATAACTGTGCCGGTCAGGCGCTGTGCACAATTTTAGAGGCCATAAGTGGGCGTGCTATGTGCGCAAACTAGTTACCTAACTAGTGCCCGATTCCGAAAATTGGAACCACGAAAAAATAAAGATTATAATCTGTATAATCTGTGGTAGTACAGTGATGTAAAAACCACATCTTTGTAATTCTATGGAACGCTCTAGGTACAGGGCGTTCCATTATCTAAAAATAATAAATAAAAGTTAATTAAAATTATTATATTTAATCAACTTTAGTATTTCAAAAATGATGAATAATTAAAATGAAAGAATATTTAAATTACATTTTTTTATTGTTCCTGATTCTGACATAATATTTTTATTATCTACTTAATTGTCCTAAAAACCACAACACTATTTTTAATTTATTTGTATCTATTACATAATTTCAATCAGACTAAGCAATAAATGTAAATTATTACAAATTAGTAATGTACATTTGAAAAATGTTAATTGAACTGAATAAAATTAGTTTTTTATGTGGTATACGGAAAATGTTTTTTTTTTCCTGATCTAATAAAGTTGTACTTGTAAAATAACATTAAAAACAACGCCAGAAGTAAATTTATTACATTTATTGAAATGCTAGATTCTACAACAAGGAAATAACTTTTTACTTTCAGTTTTTCTTTTTAAAACGCAATTAATATACCGGGTGCGTCTCAAAAGTGGCTCACCCCTATAACTTTTTTATTTTTTTAGATAAAAGAACGAGATTTGGTATGTTAGTATATGACATAAATTAGGATTGATTGACTTATTCAATTGTGTTTGGTCACTTCCGGTTTCACCGGAAATGATTACAATTTTTGATTTTTAAATGTCACCCTCGGTATTTTTTTACTTTATTGCCACTCTGAACAAAATGACATATCATATGTCAACATTTGACATTTTCGTATATGGTTTATTTGAAATTGTAACATGCGGTTCATAACGATAATTTGACTAGAAATACCAAGTGTGTGGTATCAAATTATTCGTAAAAAATGCTTTTTCCAAATATGCTAATGAGCCACCCTCGTTCTATATGAAAAAATTGAGATGTGATTAAAAATACGATTTGGACATCTTTTAACCGGCCAGGACAAGACACTAAAAACATTAGACGATCAAATCTATTTTTCCAAGGCTCCTTGATTAAAAATTACTGTTTTTAACACAGCTATGGCACTCAAAATATAATTTGTTTTTGAGTAACTATGTCAAAAATTGACATATGATATGTCATTCGATTCAGAGTGTCATTTTCTATCGAATGAAGTAAATAAATGCCGAGGGTGCCATTTGAAAATTAAAAGTTGTAGTTATTTCCGGTGAAACAGTAAGTGACCGAAAACAATTGAATGCGTCATTCAATCTTAATTTATGTCATATACTAACATACCAAATCTCGTTATTTTATCTGAAAAAATAAAAAAGTTATAGGGACGAGCCACTTTTGAGACGCACCCGGTATAAGGTGTCGTGAAAAAAAATTATATTAAAGTTTCTAAAGATTTTACTAGAGAGTTTTTCGTTTGTTATTTCCTGGTTCTCAATATTTTGAAATTGACCAAATATACAATTTCTAACCCTGTTTAAAATTATTTATTTGTAAAAGTGAAAACAATACATACTGGAGCCGATCGGCCGACTATTATTTGATCGCATGTGAGCGCGGCTCCATAAGAACTCTATTAGTTACAAACCTGCAACTAAATAGTCGACCGACTAAGAATTGCCTGTCACCCCCAAACTTATTTTTGAATATTTCCCTTTACAGTATCCAAACTATTTAAAAACGTAAGTCAGAGAATTCAAAGTGTCTTGTTTTCAAATTAATATTTTTTTAGAAAATATGCGATAATTGTTTTGGGTAGTTTATATGCAATAAATTAATTTACTTTAATAATTATTAATTATTACTTTAATAAAAAGCTCATCTTATTTAAATAGAGATGCAAAAATAATCGAAAGCAGTATAAGTATTTTTAAATATTTAAATACTTTACTCGGAAGCGCATGCGCATAGTTCTCCCGCGCTCATAGTCACGGCTGAATAATTTTTGTGTTTAGAGGATGTTTGGTCATTACAATCTGTCTAACTGATTAAATATAACTTTATAATAGTTGTCTTAATAACATATGTAACAATCAGACCTGTAAAAATAAGTAAAGTTGATTGATTGTTGAACGGCCGGGAATTCACGAGCTTGCGACGTTACTAATTGATATCTTGATAGAAACTGCAGACCTGCCGCGTCTTTTGCTTGTTTTTAATGGACACAAATCGAAAAAAAAACGCTTAAAACGGTAAAATCGCAAAAAGCGCTTGAGACGGAAAAAACGCAAAACGCCAAAAACGCCCAATATACAGGCTGGCCCGAATTGTATTCCGGAAACTTCGACAGCATATTCTGCAGATAAAAATAAGTAAAAAAGTTCGTATAAATGTATGTCCTAAAATGCTTAGTTTCGGAGATACAGGGTGTAGAAGTTTCATTTTTATTTCGATTTTTTCCAAATAATTTCTGAAGTAACGTCAATATTGGGATGAAAATTGGTATCTGGGAGTATTGTGACACGAAATTTGATTTTGATGTCAAAATTACTCCTATTTGTGAGGCGCCACCTACATAGTTTTATAGTTTTGAAGAGTAATAACTTTTCGACCGTACCTGTATAAAACCACTGACTAAGAAAATACACATTTTCATGACTTTTTATGTAAAAATTGTCTCTTGGTAAAAATCGCTACGAGCAACTGTTCTCAAGATATTTAGAATGGAAATAGTCAATACATGTTATTATTGACAAAAAATAAGCACATGTTGAGTCTAGTTATTTGACTGAAATAATAAATTTTTATTTTTTTAAATTAATCATAAGTTTTTCTGCGAAAAAATGATGATTAAACAATTTCTTTTGAACTTTTGACACAAAAAGATTTAAATATTATGATTTCATTCTAATTACTATTTACTCAACATGTTTAATTTATGTCAATGATGACAGGTATTGATAATTTCGATTCCAGATATCTCGAGAACCATTACTCGTAGCGATTTTTACCAAGAGACCTTTTTTGTGTAAAAAAAGTCGCAAATGTATATTTTTTTACTCAGTAGTTTTATACAGGTACCTACGAAAAGTTATTACTCTTCAAAACAGTTAAAACACATGTAGGTGGCGCCACCTACAAATGGGAGTCATATTGACATCAAAATCAAATTTCTCATGTCAAAAAACACCCATCCACCATTTTTCATCCAAATATTGACGTTACTTCAGAGATTATTTAGAAAACATCGAAATAAAAATGAAACTTCTACACCCTGTATCTCCGAAACTAAGCATTTTAGGACATACATTTATACGAACTTCTTTACTTATTCTTATCTGCAGAATATGCTGCCGAAGTTTTCGGAATACAATTCGGACCACCCTGTATATAGAGTAAGATCCCAGAGCGATCTCACTCTATAAATACCAATTAATAACCTCTAGCAGAGTTTTGCCAAGTAGTTATAGCCGTAAAATACGTTATATGCCATCAGTCTATTTTGTTATTTAAATGTAATTTTCTTTGGGTTGCAGGAATGCAACATTTAGTAATCTTGGAACCTGAGCCCTGGGGACTGCCATTGAATGAAACTCTACTTCCGGAACACCTGAAGAGAAATGGCTACGTAACAAGGGCCATTGGAAAATGGCATTTGGGATTTTTCCGGAAAGAGTACACTCCAACCTACAGAGGATTCGACAGTCACTACGGATACTGGCAAGGTTTCCACGATTACTACGATCACACAATACACGCCACGGTAAGCCTATGTTCCCTATGCCTTTGCCTATGCCATGGTTCCCTATGAATCATAACATCATGTATGTAAGATATACAAGGTGTCAAAAAATAGTGTATCTAATTTCGGTTGGTGATTCTACAGAAAAAAATAAAACAAAAAGTTTCTATGAACATATGTGTCTATGAGTGAAATCAGGAGATTAATTTATTTAAAATTTCTTTACATTTTATCATTTCACTAATACTAAAATCGATGCATCGTAATTTTTAGACGCAAATATCTTGAAAACCGTTCACTGTTTCGAACTAAACGAAGAGCACCTTTTTACATAAAAAGTTCTATCTTTATATATCATTTGTTGAAATTACTGTATCTATAAGGATAAAAGAAGTACCACTAGTAGTTAGGTTAGGTTAGGTTGATGGGGTTTGGGATCATATTTGATCTCTCACTCGGAGGCCTTGGGCCCATTGCGATACCCCTGTATTGTTTTACCAAACCTTCCTCTCATTCTTTCTTTGCGTTAAAGAACTTCCAGCTCTTTGCAAAGTTCCCGATGTCGCTGATGTTGGCTTCTACTGCTTCCTCTAGTCCCTCCAAAAAACCTTGCCCTAAAGTTTTAAAGCGTCGGTATTCCAGTGCCGGACAGTGACACAGCAGGTGCTCTATGGTTTCTTCTTCCTCTCCGCATTCTCTGCAGTAGTCGTCGTCGGAAACTTTCCATCTCACGAGGTTTACCCCCGTGGGACAGTTTCCAATGAAGACACCTACAATTATGCGTACTAGGTCTTTTTTGTGCTCTAGTAGTTGTTTTGTCTTTTTGCTATCTACCACTGGCCATAGTCTTCGAGCTGTAGCGCAGTCCTCACGGTGTTGCTACGTCTCTTGCTGCTTGGCTTTGATGGCAGTTCCTATAGCCTCCTTCAGTGTGTTGATCGTCACAAGTGGTGGGTCATCTGCCACGGCCTCTCCCCTGGCCCCGTCTTTGGCGAGTCTGTCTGCTTCCTGATTGCCCACCACATTGCTGTGGCCTGACACCCAGCTCAGCGTAGCCCCGCCCCGACGCAGCCAGGACAGTGCTTCTCGGCATTCCATCACAGTTTTCAATCTCACTGATTGCATGGTGATGCTTCTTAAAGCGGCCAAGCTGTCAGAGTATATCACTATATCCCCTATTGGTCTATCAGCAATTTTCTCTCGTATACAACTAGCCGCTTCCTTTATGGCGTAAACCTCTACTTGTAGAACATTACAGCCATCCGATAGCCTTAAAGATCGTCGGATGTCTAGTTGCTCTGAGAAGATGCCTATACCTGTGCCCCCTGAATTTGCGGAAGCATCTGTGTAGATTGCTATCTCTTGAGTGTTCATTACTCGGTTGCTTTCCCATTCTTCTCTTGTCGGGATGCGAATCCTTATATTTTCTCCAAAATCATGTTTGGTGAGCATATAGTCCGTTTTCTGGTCTAACAGATGTGGACTCGTGTTCACCATGATTTTTCCTATCACTGGCGATATCCTCGAGTGACCGTAGTTGGTCTGGTTCCACAGATTGGATTCACTTAATCTTAGGGCGCCCTTAGCAGCCAGATCCTTCACGAACCAGTCGATTAATTACAAGTCCAGAATTGCTTCTAGCGCAGCTTGCGCTGTCTTGTTCCTTGCTCCAGTTGTACCTAGACCTGCTAATCGCTGTACTTTTGTGAGGTTTTTTCTATTAGTCTCTTTAAGTACCGCTTCCCACCATATAGAGTACCACCAGTAGTACTCTATACCCTAATGAAAAGTACCCTTTCAGGGCTGTTACGGAATTTTACACTATCGCCATTCGCTTTGGCATTAAAATGTGTGTAAGAGTACGAAATTTCAAGAAAAACGGTTTCCCAATGTTCTTATTGAGAAAATGAGAAATATTGAAATATATTGAGCATGATTTTTCTGTTATAGTATACTTCTGAGTATGGCTACGATATGCGCAGAAACATGACAGTAGATTGGGACGCCAAAGGAAAATACACGACGACATTATTAACTGAAGAGGCTGTGAAAAATATTAGACAACATAATACAGACAACCCCCTGTTTATGTACTTGGCTCATTTGGCACCTCATGCTGGGAACGACTGGGATCCTCTCCAAGCACCAGATGAAGAAATAGCCAAGTTTGCTCACATACAAGACCCGGAAAGGAGAATATACGCTGGTAAGAGTTTTGTTTTGATATTTATAATAATTAGTGTAGGGATCACTCGATTGAAAAATATTCGGCCATTCGAGTAGTCAAATCCTCAGTATTTCTCGAGGATTTTTGTCGATCCTCGAGGATTACTCGGCACGCAACTAAACCCGTGTGTAGGGTATTCCGTACTCACGATAATCCAGAATACAGGACTGTTGAAAATACAATAATAATTTATTTTTATTACAATATAATTCAGGTTCATGGCAACAGTATCAACACTAAAAGACTATTACTGACCGTTATCAAATGTGAACTAAACTAAATCCTAAAAGTACTGAGCTTATACAGGGTTGTTCACCACATACGACACGGAGTATTGTAACTAAACTATTATATTTTTACAAACTGTAAGTTTTGGGTTCGTTGAAGGACTATTAGATCTACAATTTAAAAATATTTTTACAAGATACAGAGTATCCCAAATAAGTAAAAAATATTATAGTTGTATTTTTTTAAATGGAACACCCTATATATTATTCTATTTTTGGATTCTACAAATGAAATAAAGGTAAATTTGATTAAGGTTTATCATACTTAAACCTTATCGTTTTTGAAATACTTTCAATTTTATGAAATTGCAGTAAAAATTTTAAGGCTTTATTTCTCCAAGGGTATCAAAGTTTTTAATACTAAATATTTACTGAAGATTATTTATTGATCAGATATTGTGTTGCAATAATAAAAATTTTACTACCTTATACAGAGTGTCCAAAAATGAATATTAAATAATTACTAACTTTAAACGGCAATAACTTGTTTAATTTAAATGGAACACCCTATATATTTTACGTGAATCAGATGCACTATGTAATTGTCTATGAAATTGTATTATAACATTTTTTACCTATCTCTTCAAGTTTCCATAGAAAATGCATTTTCTTATAATTTAGACCTCATTTATCACTATACCCCTGGAATATTTTAGCTTATTTTTAAAGATATAACCAATTTTTAAAGGGTACAGATACTAATATAGTGGATATAGTTCACTTATTTAATTAAAAAATAAAAAAAAACTGTTTAAATATTTTTTGTTAAAGAGGATCAATTAATATGGCCCATTCAAACTACAATAATTGACTGTTTACGTCGATTAATAATAATTGCTCCAAATACTAAAAAACTGAATTTCGTGTGTGTATTAGACAATGTGGTAAAAAGTAACACCTTATAAATTTTATTTCATTTTTTGACGAATGCATATTTAAAAAAACAGAGACGTTCATTTTCATAACTTATTATTATATTGATTTCTGCGCCAAATCCACATTTATTTAGAATACTTTATTAATTAAAATAATTTAAAAGTATGCAATTAACTAATTTTTGGTGTTTTTGGTCGGAAATAATGGTGGTATATTTAATTGGTATACTCTTTTACAAAGATTTAAACAGTTTTTTTTTGTATGCCAATGGGCTTACAATATTTACCACCTGTACATTTTGTACATAATATATGGTGCTATAAAAAATCTGAAATGTCAATATTCCATGGGTATAGTGATAAATGAGGTGTAAATTATAAGAAAATGCATTTTCTGCGAAAACTTGAAGAGATGGGTAAAAAATGGTATAAAACAATTTGATAGACAATTACATTATGCATCTGATTCACGTAAAATATATAGGGTGTTCAATTTAAATTAAACAAGTTATTGCTGTTTAAAGTTAGTAATTATTTAATATAAATTTTTGGACACTCTGTATAAGGTAGTAAAATTTTAATTATTGCAACACAATATCTGATCAATAAATAATCTGCAGTAAATATTTAGTATTAAAAACTTCGATACCCTTGTAGAAATGAAGCCTTAAAATATTTACTGCAATTTCATAAAATTGAAAATATTTCAAAAACGGTAAGGTTTAAGTATGATAAACTTTAATCAATTTTACCTTTATTTCAATCGTAGAATCCAAAAATACAATAATATACAATATCCATTTAAAAAAACAACTATAATATTTTTTACTTATTTGGCACACTCTGTATCTTATAAAAATATTTTTAAATTGTAGCTCTAATAGTCCGTCAACGAACCCAAAAATTATAATTTGTAAAAATCTAATCGTTCAGTTACAATACTCCGTGTCGTATGTGGTGAACAACCCTGTACATATACTAGAGCCGAGCATTCACCCGTGAATTAGTTGGATGCAGTCAAGCATGAGGTTGTCCACTATAATAATACCTACACTTGAGAGTTTTATGAGTGATTGCCATATTGTTGAAATTTCCATACTTGGATTGGTAAAAATTTTATAATAATAATAATAGCTCCCGTATATAGCGTTTAACGCCTTGGGAGTAGCAAGGTACAGCTTGCTATACTAGAGCCGTTCGGTATACAAGGAAGGTAATGTGGCTAGCACTACGCTTCAACCGCCTATTATTACCTCAGGATTGTGAATCCCAAGTACTCATTTAAGGCTGAGTCGACCTAGGTACCCAAGCTATTTTTATTTTAATAAAAATAGTCGGCTGATGAAATGCCGGGTGTGGGAATCGAACCCACACCTTGAGATTGGTAGACGAGAGCCTGTACCTCTACGCCACCGGGCACCAATGGTAAAGATTTTATTATTGTTAGAAATGAATACGGCCTCTTTTTAAATTTGCGCTTTTTCCAATGGGGGTTCTTTAGGGACAACCCGGGCTTTCGACCAATTCATGTTGTGGTGCTTGGACCACACATTAGCTATTCGCATGATCTTCTCCGATGTTCCTTTCACATACGGAATCGTCAAGAGATAGAAACAAAGTTGTGGGTTGGAACCTTTGGTGTTACAGTGCAAAATAAAACACTAATTCACGACAACACAACGAAACACTTTTAGTAATGGACGCGCGTTTCGCTAACTATGTTAGCATCATCAGTAGTTGATTAAAACTAACATATTATTTACAAATTGAGCATTTATACAGGCGATTGGTTGGTAGTGACCAAGTGTGACAAAATTAGCCAAGCAATGTGTTTGATTAATTTTAAATTATTAACGTTTCTACAACGATCTTTATCAATATCTTGAGCAACACAAGAGATTTATCTTCAACATCTACCTTATCTGAGCCATGTGTTTTATAAATCTAGTTAATTTTGATCTTCTAGTTTGCCCAACATATTTTTGATTACAATATTTACACGAAATTTCATAAGTACTCATGGTTTTTCATTTTGTTAATTAATTTGTTTAATTTTAGCTATGGTTTCTTTGTTGGATAAAAGTGTGGGTGCAGTAGTGGCAGCTTTGAGAGAGAAACACATGCTAGAGAATTCCATCATTATTTTTATGTCCGATAACGGAGCAGCTCCAGAAGGTGTTCACGCAAATCACGGTTCGAACTATCCCTTTAGAGGCGTAAGTAATATTGTAATTATTAGTATTATTAGTAAATTTTTATCAAAGGTACCCAATGATTTTTTTCTCGTATTTTATTGTTGAAAGCGCCATATGAAATAATACTCCGTGTATCTACTAAACCAATAAAAATTTTGAAATACTTTAAATACATAAAATGTTTATTCTATAACTCTCAATCTAATAAAAAAATATATACAGGGTTCCATTTAAAAAAAAAACAAAGAAAAATTATTTTATATTTTAGAAAGTTTGGCGTAGAATTTTGAACACTCTGTATGATTTAAAATTACGATATTTACAGTAAAGTAAGTATAAACCATCTAAAGTAAATACCTAATATAGTTTTGATTTCAGGACAGTTCTTGTATTTGTAATATTTATTTTAAGGAAGGTTGAAAAATATATGTTTTATTTATTTATTTATTAAACTATCGAAATATATTTACTCATATCTTAAGATTATGCAAAGAGATCTTAACGGAAGCGAAAAATGCAATAATATACCGGGTATTCCATTTTAAAAAATCATCCCGACCCAGTAACACTTTTTTGAGCCACCCTATAGAAGTTAAAATATTTTCTTGAAATACATCCTCGTACATACTTTAGGCACAGATTAGGTATCCTATAAGTATACAGATAAAAATCTTGTCCCTAATTCGTGGTACGAAAATTGTTTTTTATGACGATGTGCAAACGAGTTAAATTTCCTGTGCGCAAAAATAAACTCGCATAAAATAACAATAAACAGCGTAATAGAGAGATATCGCTAAACCGAATAGTGTGCATGGACGTTAATAAGGCCAGGTGTTATTTCCTTTACGTGAGGTGGTATTAACTCTCTTCATTTATAGTTATCGGATCGGAAAGAATTCTGATCGCGTCGCGTCCGCTATTTAAACTTAACCTAACTTTGAATTTAAAACTTTGAAATTGATTTGTTTACTAGGTATTTTAAAACTAAAGGACTAAAGTGCTTATTTCCAGTGCTTTATTGTTCAACGTCTGCCAGTGGGTTTAGGGCAACAAGCAACAAATTCTCTTAGCTAAGTCGTCATCTGCTGTAAACCTAAGATTCTTTATAGGTTCTTTAGTATTGGAAGAGGTGGAATCCATATTTTGGGCCATATTTATTTAATTAAAACTAATCCCAGCTACTTAAATATCAAATTACCTAATAAAACTAAAGCAATAATTCAAAACAATTCAAACATAACCTAAAAGATCTCGCCGGCCGGCTCCGGTTGTCAAATACCCGCACATACCCATTTAAGCAATTTTTAAACGTTATCAGAGGTTATTTAGAAAGAGCGCTTGGTGTAATTGATCCGCAAATTACGTCAGGCGGTAACGTTATTAGCGGGTGTTGAGTTAAAAATTGACTCGCGCATATCGTAACCATGATAAGGTACGCGTAAATACTGGATGACGCTATTCGGTTTTCCGATATCTCTCTAATAACTGTGCCGGTCATGCGCTGTGCACAATTTTAGAGGCCATAAGTGGGTGCTACGTGTGCAAACTAGTAACCTAACTAGTGCCCGATTCCGAAAATTGGAACCACGAAAAACAATAAAGAAAAAACAAAGATTATAATCTGTATAATCTGTGCATCTATTCCCCACAGACGAACTCGCGACTCTAGGAGCGCAACGGCTGGAGCGAGCAATGTCGCGGTCGAGGTTGCGCTTCGCTATGTATTTTATTAATTACTACTGTTCGCGGCGGACGAAATCGCGACCCTGCGAGTGCTGGAGCAAAACACGTCGCTATGCTGTTACTTCGGTTCGAGCCAACTCCAAGAGCGATTATAAATAATTTATAATTTCGTCGTTATTATGATCGTCGTTCTTCAGTAACAGGTTTTTGATTCGTAGAGGAGAGCGATACGACGGACGTTACAAAAAAATACCGGTCCAAAATCGCGTTACTTAAATACCGACACAATCACTACAATAGTATCCAAATCGTACCTAAGCGGATTAATAAATAGTCTATTATTATAAAGCATAGGTTTATCCATTCATACGCAATAGGGTGAGCCAAAAATATAACCTGAGAATTTTTTTTTAATTCAATAATTCGTATATTTGAAAGCTTTGCAGTTTTAGTGTTTATTGATTAAAAATGTTCATGTTTAGCAAAAAAACTAGATTACTCTGAGATAGATTTTTTAGTAAATTTTATGCTCTACAAGAATCCGCAATGTAAATTTTTTTATCGTAAAACCTTTCAAAGTTATGGTGCTTTTAATGGAAAAAAAATTTTACGTGTTATTTAAATGAAAAACTTTGAATGTTCACCGGCACCTTTTAAAATTGAACTAAAAATCCTGTCTTCCGGGGATATTTTGTTCTCGATTATTAGGTTCATTTTAACACATAAATTGCATAAGTTATTTTTTTTTGGCTCACCCTAATCCGCAATTAACTTTTACAGTATTCGTTTCGAAAATTGTCATAAACATCTCACTAATACTGTAAAAATTGATTTCCCGGACTTGTAACGTAAATATCTATTGTCGGACTGATACTGTCATTAATTTTAATTCACATTTAGTAATATAAAAGTTTTTTTAGGCTAAGAACTCAGGTTGGGAAGGTGGTATGAGAAATATAGCAGCTATTTGGAGTCCTCTGATCAAAAAACCTCAAAGAGTTTCTAACAATTTGATGCACATATCGGATTGGTTACCGACCTTATATTCCGCTGCAGGTAAACTATTAATTATATTATTATTAACCAATTAATCTTTAGAATTGCGAAATCAAACTATAATAAATTTAATGTTGTTAGGTTTGAAACATTCTGAACTTCCAAGCTCTCTTGATGGCAAAGATCAATGGAAATCAATATCTGAAGGTGAATCATCACCCAGAACAGAAATTTTACATAATATCGATGACATTTTCAATTACGGTGCTATCAGGCAAGGCGACTGGAAATATGTTTATGGTTCAGCATCCAAAGGGCGTATGGATCAATGGTATGGAAATTCTGGCAAGGATCCATTGTATCATTACGACGAAGCAGGTGTTTTAAACTCCCCAGCTGGCAGTGCACTTTCTGGATTCATAACCTACCAACAAATCAAAGAAAAGAACTATAATTTAGCGCACCACAAAGTACAAAACTTCAGTATTAATATCCTCGATGAAGAAAATATCAGAAAACTCCGAAATGAAGCATTGTTGAAATGTAAAGACTTGAATTCCGAAGAACAGTTAGAAAGCAATCAGTGTAACCCAATGGTTTCACCATGTTTGTTTAATATTAAGGAAGACCCATGTGAGAGGGTGAATCTAGCGACTCAGAGACCTCTTATTGTAGTGACTCTGGAACAGGAACTACTTAAATACAGAAAGACTGCCAGAAAACCAATTAACGTTCCGAGAGATCCAAACGCAGATCCAGCTAAATTCAATGGAACCTGGACCAATTGGCAAGACAACGATGTAACACAGGAGAAAATTTCTTTTAATGCACTTTCTCACTTGACTATCGGCCTTATTTCTGGAGCATGTGTAGCTGTCGTCATAATAATCGTTATTTTACTAACTATAACATGTAAAAAAGCCCCTAAAAGGAGTTTATCAAGATTGTTTGAACCCGGAGATAACTGTTGCACCGAAATGGACAACAAACCCAGCAGTAACATGTTTGAAGAAAGGGAGAAACAACTGAGGACGTCACTGAAAAATGAGTTCAGAGAAGTCTGAGGCATTAATAATGTTTTTTTGATTGGAAAATGTTATTTAGTGCGAGATGACGTAAAAGCCTCGGCATTTTCTTATAGAAGATTGTTTGAGGCGATCAGATAATTTTAAGTTAATTTATTGTAATATATAGGACATAAGAAATAAAAGATAAATTCGGCGATTTTATTTCGGTGTTTTACTTAGTTTTAGTTACAAGCATATAGTGCAATTTCTAATTCTCTAATCTTCTATAAAATAATAACTTATAGATTCTACAAAATAACTATAAATATGTTTATGGAGTAGTATTCATAGGTCAAATGGACAAAGGTATGAAGATACTGGCAAAAAAAACCATGGTACCATTACAATGAGACAAGTGGTTTAAATTGACAAGCAGGCAGTGCACTTTCTGGATTCATAACCTACCAACAAATCAAAGAAAAGAACTACAATTTAGCGCACCACAAAGTACAAAACTTCAGTATTAGTATCCTCGATGAAAAAAATATCAGAAAACTCCGAAATAAAGCATCGTTGAAATGTAAAGACTTGAATTCCGAAGAACAGTTAGAAAGCAATCAGTGTAACCCAATGGTTTCACCATGTTTGTTTAATATTAAGGAAGACCCATGTGAGAGGGTAAATCTAGCGACTCAAAGACCTCTTATTGTAGTGACTCTGGAACAGGAACTACTTAAATACAGAAAGACTGCCAGAAAACCAATTAACGTTCCGAGAGATCCAAACGCAGATCCAGCTAAATTCAATGGAACCTGGACCAATTGGCAAGACAACGATGTAACACAGGAGAAAATTTATTTTAATGCACTTTCTCACTTGACTATCGGCCTTATTTCTGGAGCATGTGTAGCTGTCGTCATAATAATCGTTATTTTACTAACTGTAACATGTAAAAAAGCTCCTAAAAGGAGTTTATCAAGATTGTATGAACCCGGAGATGACTGTTGCACCGAAATGGACAACAAACCCAGCAGTAACATGTTTGAAGAAAGGGAGAAACAACTGAGGACGTCACTGAAAAATGAGTTCAGAGAAGTCTGAGGCATTAATAATGTTTTTTTGATTGGAAAATGTTATTTAGTGCGAGATGACGTAAAAGCCTCGGCATTTTCTTATAGAAGATTGTTTGAGGCGATCAGATAATTTTAAGTTAATTTATTGTAATATATAGGATATAAGAAATAAAAGATAAAAACACATTTTATTTCGGTGTTTTACTTAGTTTTAGTTACAAGCATATAGTGCAATTTCTAATTCTCTAACCTTCTATAAAATAATAACTTAGAGATTTTACAAAATAACTATAAATATGTTTATGGAGTAGTATTCATAGGTCAAATGGACAAAGGTATGAAGATACTGGCAAAAAAAACCATGGTACCATTACAATGAGACAAGTGATTTAAATTGACAAGCAGGCAGTGCACTTTCTGGATTCATAACCTACCAACAAATCAAAGAAAAGAACTACAATTTAGCGCACCACAAAGTACAAAACTTCAGTATTAGTATCCTCGATGAAAAAAATATCAGAAAACTCCGAAATGAAGCATCGTTGAAATGTAAAGAATTGAATTCCGAAGAACAGTTAGAAAACAATCAGTGTAACCCAATGGTTTCACCTTGTTTGTTTAATGTTAAGGAAGACCCATGTGAGAGGGTAAATCTAGCGACTCAAAGACCTCTTACTGTAGTGACTCTGGAACAGGAACTACTTAAATACAGAAAGACTGCCAGAAAACCAATTAACGTTCCGAGAGATCCAAATGCAGATCCAGCTAAATTCAATGGAACCTGGACCAATTGGCAAGACAACGATTTAACACAGGAGAAAATTTCTTTTAATGCACTTTCTCACTTGACTATCGGCCTTCAGAGGCGATCAGATAATTATAAGTTCATTTATTGTAATATATAGAATATAAGAAATAAAAGATAAAACACATTTTATTTCGGTAAAAGAATAAATAAAAGCAATCAAGAAATAAAAGCGTAAAATATTTTTAAAGGACTTCATACCAAAAATAATAATTTAGCTTAAATGAACAAAAAAAAACACAAAATATACAAAAACAAGTGTATAAATCCAAATCTTATGTACAATTTATATATACAAAAATATAATAATTTATTTACAAAATGTTCACAACAAATATGCCAATAGGAGATGCCATCACTTGCGCTACACCCATGAATAGGGTAAATACGTTAAAAGCTACTTCTCCTTCTTCGTTAGATGTTTTCCTAGAAATATGTATTATAAAACATGCACAAGAAAAAATTTATAAATATTTTTTTAAACTATACAAGATGATTTGTTGATAATAACTTTTGATACATATTTTCGCGGATAGTACTTTAATTATTACTTGAATATATAACATGTTAGAGATATAAAAAAGAATAACTAAAATGTAAACCTAAAAACTAAAATGTGAACCTCAGTAAGTGAGGAATTATAACAAATCTTGTCAATATTTGTCAATATATAGTTTCACATACTAGGTTTTCATAATTTATAGCTACATGATTCTCATTTTGTCTTTTAAAAATTTAGATAATATACATAAATCAAATAAATCTAAAAATTATTAAAGAAGTTTTAATTGGTCTGATTTTTGTAAATAAAAACATTATAATGTAAACCTCAGTAAGTCAAAATTATAATAAATCTTGTCAATATATAGTTTCACATACTAGGTTTTCAAAATTTATAGCTACATGATTCTCATTTTGTCTTTTAAAAATTTAGATAATATACACAAATCAAATAAATCTAAAAATTATTAAAGAAGTTTTAATTGGTCTGATTTTTGTAAATAAAAGCATTAAAATGTAAACCTCAGTAAGGGAAAATTATAACAAATATCCGCCATATATAAAAGCGGTTAATATTTTTAATGAATACAATAAGCAAAATCAATTTTAGCTTTTTTTAAATGTCAAAATAAATGTGTTAATGTTAAACTATATAACAAACTAAATTTAAAATTCAAAATTAAGGCAATCCTTTACAAGAGAAAAAACTTTTTTATTATTAACGTTTTGAGAAAAATGCATTCCTTATAAAAATATTTGCATGTTCTAAAATGGGTTAATCACGTTTATACTTTTCCATATTTCCATACCGTTTTAGAGAAAATTAAAAAAACACGAAAATATAGTTGAATTTTTTCTGGATATTAATTAATAACATTTTTTATGGATAATACATATTTTTTCTCTTCTTAAAGTATCTCATTTTCCGATAACTAATATCACCCTTTCCGTAGCATTGAACTAAATAAATTTCGTACTTACGTTTGACATTTGTACATTACTTTTGTACCTTTAACATTTTAAAACAGCAAAAAATATCTATAATACAATCAAAAAATAGCAGGTTTAGTCGCCACTGACTAAGTCAAGAAAAAACTCAAAATTTAAGTGATACAGTCAAACAGTGACTGAGTTAGTCACTGTTTGATCGAGCTCGAAACAACAATGTAGAAATTAGTCTTAGTATATTTAAAAAAAATTGTTTTAAAAAATGTAATGTCGTTGGATATGTATTTTAATATTTTATAACGGAAATTTCCTTGTATTCCAATGTCATATGATGCTAGTTTAAGGCCTTTTTGTGCAGAGGATGTTGTTTTTGCTAATTAACTCAGTCAAACTATCCTGATGATGTGAATAAAATTCTCAAAGCTTCATAAATTTGAAAAAGTAGTTTTATTAGCCTGTGTGGTGATTATTGACTGTATCCTCACTTACATTTTGAGTTTTTTTTTATAATACAATCTATCAAAGAATGAAAAGGAAATTATTAAAAGTTCAACTATATTTTCAGGTTTTTTTTTTAATTTTGTCTAAAAGAGTATAGACTTTTTATCAAGAACTCTTTTTTTTCTCAAAATGTCTATTAAAAAAGTGTTTCCTGTTGTAAAGACAACCCGGGGACATGCTGTATATACAATACTATTTAAACCAATCACTAAAGAATACAGAAAGGACAAATAACACACGAGACCAAACTGTGACTCTTTCTTCCAAACAGTGCCGTGGCACATCATTTAGCCGCTTGAAGCGATATTTATATTTTTGATAAATGTTTTTACTACGTCTATGGTATATCCGGTGGAATCATACTAATTAATTACTAAAAAAAACGTATTAAAATGTTAACAATAGGTACAAAACTAGTATCGAAATATAGCACATATCAAGGACATAATATCAAAAAAATAATTATCAAATTCAATAAAAAAAACCTAAAAAGGTGGAGTGGATTGTTTATTTCCCTATAAAACACCTGGCTCTTTCTTATCATTGTGCCTTTTACACTTGAAAGCTAAACAAATTACCATTGTAATAGAGTTTATATAAAGTTCACTAACACAACCAACTATTAAAAATCGCCAAAATTGTTGCTGATGACCAGCTGATGACTCATTCGTTGCTTCCAATGAAATGGCGTCTAAGGTCACAAATTCTCCTGCGGCCCGTATATGGGCGTTACAAGTCCTTGTATTCTTTAGTCATTGATTTAAACATTTCATGTTAATAAGAATGGTTTATCTGGCATCATAATATGGAGCACGCTTGATCATCTTATACTTACTCCCGAATATATAGAACAGCGGCGTTCAATAAATATCCACTCATAAAAGTAAACATTCCTAAAATAAGAGAATACTGCCAATCGTGTGTGAACACTACCGGTAGATGGCTTCTTGGCTGGGCATTGCACAGCCATATAGAGGGCACTAATATCAACGTTAAAATAAGTGACACGACGCATAATACTCTTTCTGGCATTTTCTAGAACAAGAAGAAAAGTTGAAACAATAAAGCGTGTCTCACATATCGATATATTATGTTAAGTTTAGAAATTTAAAATTATACTTACCCAAGGGAAATATGATGACGTCGCTCTACCAAGTAATAACCAAATATCGGATAAAAGAAAAGTAATTACTGGGCTAAAGAAGTTATCTGCAACAAAATCATATTTATGTATCATGTTTTTAGTTTAAGATTTTTGCCTCCAAGCTTTTTTATAAAATATGTGGGCAATAGCTGTGTACATTTTAAAAATATTTTGGTCAATACACAGGGTGGCGCCCAGTTTCCGTTGAAATGAAATTTTGTGAGTATATTATGTAGGGCAATTTAGAGCATTTCTTTAACATATAGACAGTTCTACAGAGTGTCCCCAAAAAACTTACACATTAAAGTTGTGTTTTTTTGTAATAAAACGCCCTATGTATTAATTGATTTTTGGATTCTAGGAGAAAAATAAAAGTGAGTTTTATTAAAGAAGCATATACCTAAAATCTAAGGATTTTGATATATTTCACATTTTGTGAAAATGAAGAGTAAATTTTAAATTTGGATAACAGCTACCTAAGCTTTAGTTGATCTTGTATAGCCTGATATTTAATTACACTAACCATTGTCTGTTAAACCAAACTAAAATTTGACCCGAAAAGTTATACAGGGTGAGACAAAATTAAGATTGAGCATTAGTCACTTTTAAAAGCAAGTGACTCCTTTATTTTAAATGGAACACCCAGTATATTATTTCGGTGTTCAATGGGGAATTCATATATCTTTAAAATATTATTAAGGTTGCCTACCCCTCAGACAAAGATTTTTCTAGATATTTTAATTTTTATGATTTTGCGTCAGTAGATCTTTATTACTTGAAAAAATCTAGGGTGGCTGTGATATAACTTTTGTTAATTTAACAAAAACTAAGAATGTAGAGTACTCAACGGTAATAAAAAAGATACACCTTTAAAATATATTTTAATTATTACAGCATTAATACTAGATATAAACCTATAATTATGTGACAAAAATTAGCTATAATTTAGCTAACTTGCTTTTAAAGGCGACCAATGTTCAATATTAATTTTGTCTCACTCGGTATAACTTTATGGATCAAATTTTAATTTAATTTAAAGTTCAATAGTTAATTTAACTACATATTAGGCTATACCGGGTAAATTGCAATTTTGGTAGCTTTTATTGTAATTTAAAAATTGTTCTTTATTTTTAGAAAATGTTAAATATGTCAAAAACCTTACATTTTAGCCATATACTTCTCTTATAAAACTCACCTTTATTTTTCTCCCAGAATCCGAAAACCAATTAATATATAGGGTGTTCCGTTACAAAAAAACACAACTTTGATATGTCACTTTTTTGGGGACACTTTGTAGAACTCTCTATATTTTTAAAAAGTGCTCTAAATATTGTTAAGTTTTTCGTCGGTTCCGTGTCGATAGAAAGTCACAATTTATTTAAACACAATTTATTTACACTAAGTAACAAACAATAACGATTAAAAGACTTAAAGAACTATATACAAACTATTTATAACTATTTATCTAGAAAGAATTAATTTTGAATTTAGCGCGACGACTGTACTCGTCTATTTATTTCTGTCCTCTTTAGGCCCCAGCCGCCTGGCCTTTTATACCTACAGCCAGCAACAGCTAAAGAGTTCTCGAATAATCCATAGATCATTATGTGCATAGAGAAGGTTTCGAATGTTCTCGTTTGTACTGCTCCATTCCAGTGGAGTTCGATTGTTCTCGAACATTCGAATGAATCATTACGGTGTCTATTCTTTAATGCGATATTAAGGCCATATGGGGGCGGGACATTTTAGCATGATTTTAGCTAGTTAGGTTATGCCGAGTCGCACGGGTCCGCACGAGGTCGCACGGGTCCGCAACAATATGATCACAAAATTTCATTTCAATACAAACTTTTGTTCTGCTTGGAGCCGCCGCGTCGTATGAGAGGCGCCACCCTGTCTTTTTTCACTTTTATAAGGCTAGTAAAGAATTACTCCTCTACAACATTCTCCCCCATACAATTCTTCCATACAAATCAAACTGTAGCTTAAATGTAAATCAAAGTATCACTTACTACTCCAAACCGTAACGTTGTTATCCTCAGAAACCACCAACGAAGTAACGGAAGTGTGGGTGGCTGCCGTTCCTAACCCGAAGACAAAAAATAAAAATATACTTTCCCAAATTTTCATGAAAATGCTTTTTATAGTCTGCCTGGATATATGTCTGTTTTCACTTTTCTTCTCCGGTAACGTGTCTAAACAGTACCTGCAAAAATTCACAATCTTAACTTAAATAGTAAATTAAATAGTCGAATAATATAGAATTTATAATTTAAAAAAATGGCGCCGGGAGGCACGTATAGCCGCCCATACTAAAATATGTTAATAAAAAGTTGGAAGACAGTTCTTTTAGTTGCAAAGTAAAGGCATTTTTCCAATTTTTTTTATCTCAAAAACTGCGACATTAACTGATTTTGATGTTATTACAAATTTTGTTGCAAATATTATTCCTAATCTTAAATTGAAAACCGCGTTTCGCTAGCTACTGTAGTTTTGGAGTTACGATTTTTTAAAATTTTTAACCCCCTCCCATACCCTCTTAGACAGACAGACACCATGAAAATATTTTGTATTTAGGTCATTTATGACACAAATAACTCATTTTGAGTGAAATTAAAAAAACTTTTTTTTGTCGATCATAATAGCCTACCATACCTCTCATACCAAAAATCAAAAACAATGCTTTATGGTCTGGAGTCAAACCCACTTATGAGCAGTGGCGGCTCGTGAGTATACAGTGTGGTCCGAACTGTATGTGTGTAGAAGGATTCGATCAACCTGATTGGTGGACATGGACATTCTCGCAAGTTTCGTTATCATGTAGTAGACATGCGCATAACGTTTTCCTATTGGCTAGTTGTACCCCCCTAATTATATCCCCTCGTTGATTATTATTATCGGTCAAGAGAAATTGTGGTTAGAAACGTTTATTTTTCTTTGTACCATGAGTTTATTAGTTTGTAATATTATTATGCTTTCTCTATGGGTACAAATGTCTACCGCAAGCTAGGATATTCTATTAATTTTATTATAGTATACATCAAGTGTGTTTTTTAGTCATTGCGAATGATCGTAAACTAAAAAATATAAAGTGTAATTGAAACCACTGATTTATTCCACTAATTGCGAGGTTCTGAATTAAGCTAAAAGTTTGTTAATTTCTACTAATTGAAAATTACTACCAATAATTTTAACGTTCTGAATGCTTAAGCTTCATTCAGAACCTCGAAATCAGTGGAAGAAATCATAGATACATGCAACAAGTTTAGATTGGAAAGCCCGTAAAAATTTTGGGTCGCGAAATTATTTTGGGTCGCGACCGTTATACGCGATCTGGTGCTGCTATAGCGGTCGCTAAGAACAACGGCAAACAAAAACAGAAATAATTTTCTCTTGTCAAAGTCAGAATCTTCAAAAATCATAAAGTCTTTCAAAATCTAAACTGCTCTCGTTAAAGAAATTCCGAAAAGTGTTTATAGCGTCGATTTTCAAAGTAATTATTGCTATCTTTAAGTTTAATTCAAGTTTTATTTACTCCAACCGGTGATAATTGTGAAAAAGTGGCATTAAAAACTTAAAAAGCTGTGCTGTGAACTGTGAACTGCAAAAACCATCGTGGATCATGGCATAACGTCGGTTTCCAATGTTTTATAGGTATTTCAGACATGTTCTTATATAAAATAAAGTTTCTTGTATGCAACACACTGTATTTTATTTATAACATTAAACGAAAATAATAATAAATTTGAATAAACAATATTTGGCGATATAATTCCGGAAAAAGCCGAACCGCTCCGAAATTTTCAAAAGTTTTGGGTCGCGACCGTTGCAAGAACAGCGCCAAATAGTGTTTACATTGTCCTTATGGGCACTTTCCAATCTAAACTTGTTTCATTTATCTATGGAAGAAATTAGTAGTTTCAATCATAAAATAATTAACTAGCCGTAGAAGTTTGTTCACCATAGATAAAAGAAAATAATCTTCTATGTTTGTTCACCCAATTTTATTGTAAGCATTCAGAACGTCATAATTAGTGGTAGTAATTTTCAATTATTGGAAAAAGTTAACAAACTTTTGACTGTTGCACTAATTTTAAATTTGCGAGGAATGTAATTTTCTCCTTTGATTATCACCCGTCAAGAAAAGTTTTGGTTAAGAAATCAAAAGTTAATTGTTTTATACATAGATAAATGAAACAAGTTTAGATTGCAACGGTCGCGACCCAAAACTTTTGAAAATTTCGGAGCGGTTCGGCTTTTTCCGAAATTATATCGCCCATATATTGTTTATTCAAATTTATTATTATTTTCTTTTAATGTTATAAATAAAATACAGTGTGTTGCATACAAGAAACTTTATTTTATATAAGAACATGTCTGAAATACCTATAAAACATTGGAAACCGACGTTATGCCATGATCCACGATGGTTTTTGCAGTTCACAGTTCACAGCACAGCTTTTTAAGTTTTTAATGCCACTTTTTCACAATTATCACCGGTTGGAGTAAATAAAACTTGAATTAAACTTAAAGATAGCAATAATTACTTTGAAAATCGACGCTATAAACACTTTTCGGAATTTCTTTAACGAGAGCAGTTTAGATTTTGAAAGACTTTATGATTTTTGAAGATTCTGACTTTGACAAGAGAAAATTATTTCTGTTTTTGTTTGCCGTTGTTCTAAGCGACCGCTATAGCAGCGCCAGATCGCGTATAACGTTCGCGACCCAAAATAATTTCGCGACCTAAAATTTTTACGGGCTTTCCAATCTAAACTTGTTGCATTTATCTATGGTTTTATAAGCTAAATATTATGCTGTCTCTATGGATACAACAGACTACCGCAAGCTGTTGCTAGGATATTTTATTAATTTTAATTGTGTTTTTTAGACATCGTGAATGATCGTAAACTATAAAGTATAAAGTGTAATTGAAACCACTAATTTATTCCACTAATTAGGAGGTTCTGAATGAAGCTTTACATTGAAATTGGAGGGACAAATTTCTACGCTAATTGAAACCACTAATTTCGACGTTCCGAATAAAGCTTTTAGTATTTTTATTCAGTAAACCTATTCAATACTATACCTAAAGAATTCAGTCTTTGAAGCGTAGGCGAAGGCTATGGCAGTGGCCGTGATTATGAAACTACCCAAAATGAAGTACATCAAGGTGGCGTCGGACAGGTCGTTCCCGAAAATTCCGACTGAGATAATATTTAACAGATCTACGATGATGGCACTGGCGCCTTCGCCGAGCAGGCAGATTTTCATGTACCTGTGCGGAAATCTGGGGTACAAGTTGGTGGAAGTCAACAAACTGACGGCATTGAATCCTGAAAATCAATATACAGGGTGTTTCAAAAAAGATGTGAGAGAGATTCCTCAAGTAAAAAATACGATTTATTTTTCATAGATTTCATAGATTCTGCTTTGTTTCGTACCTAGAGGAGGTTAAAGTATTTATTTATTTTTATTTATTATAATTATAATAAGTGCTTTTATTAATTCGAATAAAATAAAACCATCTGGGTTATCACTGGAATATTTTTCTAAAAAATCACGTGTGCCACTGATTTTTTTTTATTTGTTAGCAAAATTGTGTAGACCGTTTAATGCCGATTAAAATGAGCTAAAAAATCACCCACCGAAGCAAGATACACCATTTTTTTGACACCTTGTATACAATTCCGAATATTTCAAGCCTAAAGAACTTCTTACTAAAAATAGACTCAATTATAATATTAATAACTTTGTATCAACAGATGTAATCTTGGTGGTAAAATTTTAGAGATATGATCTAATCAAGGATTAGATCAAACAAATCAATATTTTTGAGTGGTTAAATCGGATGTAAAGGAAATATATTTTTATATTACTCTCACTCTTAGATTTTGTAATAGATAAGAAGCTTAATAAAATACTCATTTGGTACATTAATTATTTACTTTATAAAGTTAAAATAACAATACTTAATGGCAAAATCTGTAAAAAGTTTCATTATTCGATTATTTTTAAATTATAAGAAAATATGTATATTTAACATTTGAATGGTGAAGCTTGTTATATTATTATAACATAAGCAAAAAATGCTTATATGTAGGTAGCTTATATACAATACGATAGAAAAAAAAACGGCGTCAAAGACAGCTGGGGAATGACAATCGATAATAATTTTGGCGAGGTCAAGCTCTAAACGTCAGTTACTGACCTATACTATTCTTAATTTATTAATTAAGATATCATTAAAAATACGATTTGAGCATCTTTTAACGGGCCAGGATAAGACACGAAAAACATTAGACGATCAAAATCTATTTTTCCAAGGCTCCTTGATTAAAAATTAGTATTTTTAACACAGCCATGGCACTCTAGATTGAAATTTAAAATACAATTTTTTTTAAGCGAGAATGTCAAAATTTGACATATGATATGCCATTCTATTCAGAGTGTCATTTTCTATCGAATAAAGTAAAAAAATACGGAGGATGCAATTTAAAGATTAAAAGTTATCTATTATATTATATTTCCGGTGAAACAGGAAGTGACCGAAAATAATTGAAAACATCAATCAATCCTAATTTATGTTGAATACTAACATACCAAATCTCTTTTTTTATCTGAAAAAATAAAAAAGTTATAGGAGGGAAATACTTTTCAGGCGCACCCGGTATAGCTTATATCCTATGTACAAATAGTATACTAATGCTTACCTATCATTATTCCAGAGCATGTTAAAGCAATTGCAAAGAATATAACCTGAACTAAAACAAAATATTAGTTATTAGCAGCACGAAACAATAGTTAATGTCATAAATACTTATCTACACTATGTAAGTTCATTTTTATTCATGTTTGAATAAAAAAAATTATTAGGTTGTGATTTTCGGCTATGCTTACTAACACACTATCCTTACACTAAAAGTAATATTTTACAAAATTTTGGTATACTTTTAATCAGTTTAAAAATGGTAAATAATAATGAAAATTACTATTATTATAATAATGATTATAAAAATTGATGAGAATGGGGGCGACAAAAGTAGAGCAACAAATTGTATTCAACAGAAGATTTTATTGTGTCTTATTTCAACAAAAAATATTTAACACATTTAAGAACAATAATAATTGAAAGTAATACATTAGTAATTGATAGAATATCCATTATTACTAATAACTTGCTGACAACGGCGCGGCATTGAAGCAATCAACTTCTGAATGACATTTTCGGGAAGATTTCCAAACTTCATTAATTTTATCTATCAAGGATTGTTTATTTGGAAACATTTGGGTACGAATACGACGTTCCACTTCTTCCTAGAGATTTTCAATGGGGTTAAGGTCTGGGGATTGTGCTGGCCATTGCAAAACTCGAACGTCATTTTCCCCCATTCCAATCCATGAGAAACAATCCCATAAAAATACACTGCCTTTACCGTGTTTAATTGTAGGTGTTACGTATTTAGGATTAAACCTTGTATTGATTGGTCGCCTCACACGTCTCATTCCATCAGAATTGAATATTTTGTAGCGCGTTTTATCACTGAACAGAACTTTTTTCCAGTCATTGACGGTCCAGTTTAAATGCCGACGTGCGAATGCCAACCTTGCGGCTCTAGTTCTTTCCGAAACTAACGGCTTTTTAGCTGGACGTCTACTAAATAACTTTGCATCTACTAATCTTCTTTGTACTGTTCCTATACCAACCGTAATTTTTGGAATTTCGGCAATAATTCTAGGTGCGGACTTCCAAGGATCATTTTGAGCAATTCTTTTGATACGTCTGTCGGTCATTATTGTTGTTTTCTTTGGCCCTCCCGATTTTGGCAAATTCTACTTTCTAAATGTCCCCTGTCGTTATACGATGAAATTATTTTAGATATACTGTACCGGGGTAACACAAACTGCCTTGAAATATCGGCTTGTTTGAATTGAATGCATTCACAATGTTTCACAGTCCAATGCTTCAAGTCTTTTGAAATTGGAATTCCTCTTGGCATGACTAATCCAGAATAGAAATGTTTAAAAAAACATAAAATAAACCTCGCACAATTATTTTGGCCTTTACTTTTGCTAAAACCTTTCTTTGGAATTATGTTACTGTACTTTTGACGCGTTACTATTAAGCATTGAAAACCATAGATAAATGAAACAAGTTTAGATTGGAAAGTGTCCATAAGGACAATGTAAACACTATTTGGCGCTATTCTTGCAACGGTCGCGACCCAAAACTTTCTAAATTTAGTGAATGTGTGTTAAATTTAGAACCCTAGATATTAATAAAAAAATCGTTAACCGCGTAAAAGGCTTTCTCCAGTAAGTATGATCTCAAGGCTCTGCGAAATGCAGGAAAGGATGAAATGGAATTAATTTCAGATGGCAGATGATAGTGCATTTTTTTTTGCATTGTACAATTGGGAACTCTTTACTAACTCAGAGTGAGGGGTTGGCAGATACATGTTATGCTCTGCGTTCCTAATTGGATAGCCATGAACTGGCTCTAGAGAAATACTCGATACGTGCTTGCGAACTAGGCAGACGGATTCGAGTATGAATAGGGAAGGAAGAGTTAATATTTTATATCTTCTAAACAAGTCCCGGCAGTGAGCACAACTGGTTAGCCTCAGTGAATATCGCACAGCTCTCTTTTGTAATTTGAAGATACGCTCAAATTGAGTCGCACAACACGCACCCCAGAATGGAAGTGCGTATCGGAGATGCGACTCATAAAGGGCATAATAGACTGTCCTAGATGTTGACAAATTAAGCACATTAGCAACTGATCTAAGTGCGAAACAGGCAGAACTTAATTTTTTAGCTAAAGCATCGATGTGCAAATCCCATTTTAAATAGTTGTCCACAACAAGGCCTAAAAATTTCACAGAATCAACGACGTCAATGGTGGTATTATCAAGTTGAAAAGGTAGCAACGTACTTTTATATGATAAGACTTTAGTTTTAGAGACGTTGAGACACAGATAATTAGAATCGCACCATGTTTTTATGTTGATTAAGTCACTGGAAATGGTTCTATGAAGTGCCGTGGTGTCCGGGCTGCTCCATGTGAAACAAGTATCATCCGCGAAGAGACAGATTTTACCACTGATGTCCAGACTAGCAATATCGTTGATAAACAACAGAAACAAAATAGGACCTAGCACTGAGCCCTGAGGTACTCCGCATTCTATTGGCTTGCAAGAAGACACAGTCTTATCAACCCTCACACGCTGGTTTCTGTTGTTAAGGTAGGACTTAAACCATTCAAGAGGCGTTCCCCTGATACCATAGTACTGCAATTTGTTAGTTAGGATGTTATGATTAACACAATCGGAAGCTTTCGAGAAATCACAGAAAATTGTTGCTGTAACGAGACGGTTGTTCAGACTGGAGTATACATTATTAAACAGCGAAAACATAGCGTCATTTGTACATTTGTTACTCAAGAACCCAAACTGAAAGGGGGTGAGTATTTTGTATTTTAGAAGAAATGATACAAGCCTCTTTTTAAAACCAGTCCCTCCATGATCTTCGATAACGTGGGAAGGAGTGCAATTGGACGATAGTTGGAAGCTTGCTCTTTATCACCTCCTTTATGCAAAGGAATAATTATCGCCGACTTAAGGCAATTTGGAAAAAGCACCATCTTCAAATGACATATTAATTAAGGCTGGCTGAAAGATGGTTTAATGTACATTCCGGCATACTAGAGAACATTTTAGAGTAAGTCCGTAAAAGTCCCCTGCTGAAAGATTTATTTTTAAAGCACCATCTTCCAAATGACATATTAATTAAGGCTGAAGATGGTTTAGTAGCGCATTCCGGCATACTAGAGAACATTTTAAGAGTAGGTAATCCAGTCCCTGCCAGAAGATTTATTTTTAATATCATTTAATGTATTGCGAAGCTCTGCCAACCCACAGGCGTAAAGAAGAAACTTTGTGCAAATTAACATTATAGTCAGAGAAATGATAGAGAGAATCAAGGGAGGGGTGAGATAGTATTCACTATATTCTTCGCCACATTTACAAAGTAATTGTTTAGGTCCTCAGGTGAAGTTGAGGTTATGTTGGACGAAGAAACCTTACTCCTCAAGTCATTCACAATCGACCATGTTTTTCTTTGGCAATATTACCGGACTCAGTCAACCTCCTATTGTAATAGATGTCCTTGGCGGCTTTTATAGTCTTATGGTAAAATTTTCCTGTAAAGTTTCACGTACTCGTGAAAGAAGACACTATCCGAGAAACATTGGAAATCGACGTTATGCCACGATCTACGATGGTTTTTGCAGTTCACAGTTCACAGCACAGCTTTTTAAGTTTTTAATGCCACTTTTTCACAATTATCACCAGTTGGAGTAAATAAAACTTGAATTAAACTCACAAGATAGCAATAATTACTTTGAAAATGGCCGTTATTAACACTTTTCGGAATTGCTTTAATGAGAGCGGTTTAGATTTTGAAAGATTTTTATGATTTTTGAAGATTCTGACTTTGACAAGAGAAAATAATTTCTGTTTTTGTTTGCCGTTGTTCTTAGCGACCGCTATAACAGCGCCAGATCGCGCATAACGGTCGCGACCCAAAATAATTTCGCGACCCAAAATTTTTACGGGCTTTCCAATCTAAACTTGTTGCATTTATCTATGGTTTTGTTAGTAAAATATCTTGTTGTCATGGATACTCATAGCCTACTTCGTAGTTTTTAAATTTATTGTATTTGTATACATTATCATGCATGTATAATTAAAAAATCCGATTTGCAAATATTTCTCGAAGTATTGCTGTACTTTTGTCCCATAGTGTATGTTGATAAACCCAAAAAACGTGTTAAAAACTATAGTCTGTCCAACAAGAGGATCCATGACAGTGACTGTTATGTCTGTCATTTTAATTTACACAAATTGTATTTTTTATGTTCTGTCGAAATGTTCCTGGACTCGTTAGACAAACTTACAGGGTGTCCCGATATTTTGGAGAACAATCAAAAATAAACCCAAATCAGTAAGTACTTCAACTTACAATTGTCGGTATCGATCTTGATAAAGGCCGTAAGACAGTAGAAAATCACCGCTACCACCGTCAAGGAGATCAACACTCTAGGTACTATCCTGAACCGGTAGCCGTACAACACGTTCCACAAACCAAAAGTGATGGCTGGTATAGTATTGGCCACAGTTTGCGAAGAAGCGAAGTACGCTTGGAGTACGGTTCTGTTCTCTGGCGAGTAGGTGGGATCAGAGGTATTTCGAAATTTATACAACCAAAACTGAAATAAACCACAATAAATTTCTTAAAATTATGTTATTAAAATGCAAGATACTTTCTCTACATGCAGTGTATATGCAACAGTGACCAATATCAACTTTCTTATTATAAATGCATCACGCTGTATAATATTCAGTTTTTATTTACTTATATTTAAACCAAGAGTATTAATAACGGCCACACTTACATGGCACACCCTGTATAAAAGTTTTTGTTAAAAAAATGCGTAACTAAAATTAAGAAAATTTAAAATATTATCTATACTAATATATAAAATCCTTAAGTGAACATACTGATTAATCACGATCCTGCTCAAACTACTCAACGTAAGAAGCTCAATTTTGGCATACTTGGGTTCTTGGATTCTTGGGTGTAGAGGTTTGATAAGAAGGGATTTTTCGATATTCTAGTTCCAAGGGGGTGAAACGACCCCTCAAATATTACGTTATTTTTTATTTAAAAAACGGTCAAGTTTCCGAAAAAACGCTTTAACACGTATATTTTATTTTGTTTTTTTACATATTTTAAGATTTTTTTAAAAATGTATACAGGGTGTTTCCAAATATCTGGTCATTGATTAATCACGATCCTGCTTAAAGCGCTTGACGTAAAAAGCTGATTTTTGGAAAACAGATTGACTTTAGGGTGTAGCGGTTCGATAAGAAGGGATTTTTCGAAACTCGAATTCTAAGGGGGTGAAACTATCTCTCAAATATTAAAATATTTTTTAGTTAAAAACCGGTGAGTTTTTCGGAAAAACTCTTAAACACATATATTTTATTTTGTTGTTTTACATATTTTAAGATTTTTTATAAATTTATACAGGGTGTTTCATAAAATATGACCATTGAGTAATCACGATTCTGCTTAAACTGCTTGACGTTTAAAGCTGATTTTTGGCAAACGGATTGACTGTGGGGTGTAGAGGTTCGATAAGGACGGGTTTCTCGAATCTCAAATTCCAAGAGGGTGAAAATGCCCCTCAAATATTACAATATTTGTTATTTAAAAAACGGTTGTCTTTCGGGAAAACGTTTGGACAAGCATAATTTATTTGTTTTTTTTACATATTTTGAAATTTTTAAAAAAATCATACAGGGTGTTCCAAAAAGTTAGGTAATTTCTTAACCACGATTCTGCTTAAACTGCTTGACGTAAAAAGCTTATTTTTGGCAAACGGATTTTTCGAAAGTCAAATTCCAACGAGATGAAACTACCCCTCAAATATTACCAAGTTATATAATAATATCGCCATATTGTTTTTCTCATGCTGACATAAATATGAGAAAATTTTATCCAGTTTGTATGTTAATGGAAATTCTTGCTTTGCTTTATCATCACCATTACAAATGATTAATTCGACGCGAACGAAGTCGCTGGTACACGCTAGTATTAATATATTTTATGGAAATACCCAGTAAATATCTTTCAGCTATTAATCTTGCAAATCATTTTAATCAATTCAAAGGTAATCTTATCTAAGGAAGGAAATAGACATATAAATAAGAGTATTATTTATATAGAAATAGAATATTTAAATTGAAAGCTAAGTAATTATCTGATAAAACAATAAATCAAGGACATACAACACCTAAAAGTAATGTTTAATTATTGATTTAGCATTTTATATAGTAAAGCTTCATCTTACTGGATTAAATTAGTGGTTTCAATTACACTTTACACTTTTTAGTTTACGATCATTCACAATGTCTAAAAAACACAATTAAAATTAATAGAATATCCCAACAGATTGCGGTAGTCAGTTGTATCCATAGAGAGCCAAATATTCAGCTTATAAAACAATAAACTTTTGATTTCTAACCATAATTTATCTTGACGGATGATAATCAAAGGTCCAAATGACATTCCCCGCAAATTTTGAAGTATAATTAGTGGAAAAGTCAAAAGTTTGTTAACTTTTTCTACTAATTGAAAATGACTACAATACCATTAATTTAGAAGTTCTGAATCATCATCATCATCATCAACCAGCCTGAAGTGTCCACTGCTGGACGTAGGCCTCCCTCAAATCCTTCCACTCTTCTCGGTCCTGTGCCACTTGGATCCAGTTTCCCCTAAATCTCTTCAAGTCATCCGACCATCTTGTCGGAGGTCTGCCTCTGTTTCTGAGAGCATCTTGTCTTGGCCGCCATTCTAGTATTAGCTTGGTCCATCTATCATCCGTTCTTCTGGCAATATGCCCAGCCCAGTTCCAATTGAGTTTTTTAAGCAGATATATAGCATCTGTTATTCGTGTACGCTGTTTTATAACTGTACTGGGTATCTTGTCTCTTAGAGATACACCAAGCATTGCTCTTTCCATAGCTCGTTGGGCTACACGGATTTTTTCTATGGACTTTTTCGTCAGTGTAAGTGTCTCTGCGCCATATGTAAGTACTGGCATAACGCACTGATGGAACACCTTCCTCTTTAAGCACATTGGTAGATCTGATTTTAACACATATCTTAGTTTGCCGAATGCTGCCCATGTTAGTCCTACTCTTCTTTGTATCTCGTGCGTCTGGTTATCGCGGCCAATTGTTATTTCGTGCCCCAGATATGACTATACTTGTTCTATATTTGCTCCGTCTACCGAGACATTTCCACTAATAACAAGATTAGTCATTAGTTTGGTTTTTGAATAATTTATGCGTAGTCCAATTTGATCTGACGCCCGTTTAAGTGTTTTTAGCATATTTTGAGCTTCGTGTATTTTGTCTGTAATCAGCACCAAGTCATCAGCAAAACGCAGGTTATTGAGCATTTCCCCGTTAACATTAATGCCCATTTCCTCCCAGTTTAGTCTTTTGAACATATATTCTAATAGTGCTATGAACAATTTGGGGGAAATTGTATCGCCTTGCCGTACTCCTCTTTTAATACGGAATTTATTTGTGTTTTCGTGTAGCGATACAGATGCTGTTGCATGGTCGTATATATATTTTAAAAGGTTAGTATAACGGGTGTCTATACGACATTCGGCTAGGGCCTTGAATAATTTGTGTTGATCGATAGAGTCGAATGCCTTTTCGTAGTCGACAAATATTAAAATGAGGGGTTTATTATACTCAACACATTTTTCTATTAGGGACTTCACCACCAACAGATGGTCATTTGTACCGAAGTTCGATCTAAATCCAGCCTGTTCTCTTGGTTGATATTGTTCTAGTTTTAGGGAGAGACGATTTGTGAGGATTTTTGTGAATAATTTGTATGTGTGGCTCAGTAAACTAATAGGCCGATAGTTGGTAAGGTTTGTTTTGTCCCCTTTTTTATGTAATAGGATTATATTGGCATTATCCCATTCTGATGGCGTTCTTCCTTCGACAAGACATTTGTTGAATAATATTTGCAAAGCCTTGAGAACCTTTTCTCCTCCTTCTTTAATGGCTTCAATAGCTATATTGTCGTCACCGGGAGACCTATTATTTTTCATAAAGTTTAATGCCGCCGATATTTCATCTAAAGTAATATCTGGGATTTCTTCTGAGCCTTGATTCATCACAGTTGGTATGGTACTATACGAGTTTCTAGGGTTTGGATTGTCATATAACTGCTGTAGAAATTTTCCGTAACAAGCAGAATATCTGCTCTATTTGATGTTATCTGTCCTTCTGCATTTTGCAATTTATGAATTAGTGCTCTCCCTATGATTGCCTCTTTTTTGAAAACTTTTAATCCTTGATTTCTCTCAATGAGTTGCGTTATTTTGTTGGTATTGTGGGTTCTGATGTCTTTCCTTATCTCTTTTGATATCTTCTTGTTAAGTTTCCTATAATCATCTTATTATGTTTGTTTATCATAACTCTACGTTGCTTTATCAGATCTTTAGTGTTTTGGGTTAGTTTTGTGTTTCCCTGATTATCCTTTTTAGGACAATTTTCTTTAATAGCTTGCGTTAAAATAGTTACAATGTGATTATTTATATCTTCAATTTCCATATTTTCCATTCTTTCCAGATTTCCTAAATTTTCAGCTGCCATTGCTCTATATGCTTACATTGAAGTTCTGAATGCTTACATTGAAATTAAAGAAATAAACTTCTGCGCTAATTGATACCATTAATTTATTCCACTAAGTGCGAGGTTCTGAATGAAGCTATGAGTTTCATGTAAGGTTTATTTTTTTGTTATTTCAAAACGTGGTCAAAAATTTATTAAAGCCTCATTCCGAACCTCAAAATTAGTGGAATAAATTAGTGGTTTCAATTATAATTTATACTTATATGAGTTTACGATCACTTAAGCTTCATTCAGAACCTCCCAATTAGTGGAATATTTTATTCACTATTTAGTGACACACTCACGGGAGCTGCTCCCGTGAGTGTCTTTAGAATCATTCCCCTTTCAAAATTTGTCAGAAGGCTTTATACCAAAAAAAGATTACCCCCCTGGCAAGTTTAGAAATTCGGCATCTGCCTCCAACATATATACAAATTATTATTACAAATTTTAGAAATTAAATGAGAATTTCACTTGAATTTCCAATATTGGCTTGATTCGACATAAATGACATTGATTGACAAACAAAACCAGAAAAACCAGCCTTCTCGTGCTGGTTAGTTTGGTGACAGCTTTGAATAAGAAGACTAAGGAAGGAGCATATCAAAAATCTTAGGTACACCGCGATGGGCCTCAAATATGGCCGACTTAAATTCCGGTTTATCAGTGTCGTTGTAATTTTATTTAAAAAATGTAAAACTATGATGTAGGGTAGACGTGGGGTAGACTCAATAATTTGTTGTTTTATTTTACGTTGTGAATAAATGTTGGTAGTTATTAAAATTGTTATAAAAATATATAATTCTAAATTCTAATAAAAATAGATAAGTTATAATAAGTATTTATTAACACAAACATCCGATACGCTACTGAAGCAGGTAAGTCAAATTAACGTATCTAAATTCTTTGACATCTAATCTTTGACAAGTAATAAATAAAAGCTAAAATGCAAGAAAAATATATAATTTAGTTAATTTAAGTGAATTTCATAAATGATCGGTTTACTACACGTATTTATATTATATAGTCACTTACTAGCGAAAAGTTGTTCCATTATTTCACTCGATTTTTGCCGAGATCTACCGCACGCTACACAACCAACTATTTTAGAGTCTTTTTCGATAAATCGCGATAGTGTCACTGTTAATTTAAGTTCTGCCACAATTTCCATCTAGATTTACTACCTTTACTACCTACTATCAGTAGTAGAATAAATAATAAATAACATAAAATAAGCTCCGTAAAGACTGACAAATCCACAAAATTTCAAATCAAATTCAAATGTGTCAAATGAATCGTCAAACAGAACTGTCAAGGATCCCCACCCTAGAGAGCTTTTATGGTGCCTTTTCCGTCCACCATGCATGAATACATGGATAGCATTATGCTCCTTCCTTAGTCTTCTTATTCAAAGGGTGACAGTTATAACCCAATTTTTCAGGAACCGTGTTCCGTAATAAGAAAACTTTCAGGAAACCGATAGAAACCAAAGATATTTAAACTCGTTTAAATATCTTTGATAGAAACGGAACATAAAAAACCGTAACCAAGGTAAGCAACGGAATACACCCTTGTCTACCATTCTAGGACCTTAATCTATCCCTTCTAATCTTTTTATTCAAAGATTAGAAACTTAATTTGGTAACAATTTCGACTTCTTTGATGACGTCTTTATATATCAATCGGTTTTAAAACGTTCTTCGACGTCTTCCGATGCCCAGTCGTCATTGCTCCCTATCTAGCCTGAGGTCGACTTCAAGCTCTCGTTCTTTTAGCTCCTTGTCTATTCCTTCTCTCCAGCTCTTGCGTGGTCTACCCCTTTTTCGTCGTCACGCTGGTGTCCAGTTGAGGATCTGTTATGGAAGCCTCTCCTCTGACATTCTTTGTACGTGACCATACCAAATTAATTGTTTCGTTCTTATGTCACCAGCTATTGTTCGATTGATACCCGTAATTTCTCGCATTCTGTTGTTCGTACACCTTTCTCTTCTGGATTTACCTGCGGCCCGTTTCCAGAAATCCATTTCTGTGCTTCCAAGGTGCGCACGGTCTTATCTTTTAGCTGCCATAGGAAACGATGCTTTTAACTATTGTGTTGTATATATGACGTTTGTTAGATTTAGAAATGTTACTATCCCACAAGACGCCGTTTAACATTTTTTTTTTGGAGGTGTAAAATACCTTTACGTACGGAGTGTGGGACTCAATCTCTCCTTAAGCTGCCTGGAGGACACTACCCACTAAACGTCACCCCCTTGCTCCTGCCACGTCTACCTGGACCCGCTGGACGCATCTCGTCAAGTAGCGCCGGACTGATCCTTTTTTGTCATTACCCCTGCTCTTCGCTGTATTTTGCCTCTAGTATATTTTGGGCCAGTTTTGAGATGGCTTCAAAGTTTTCTCTTCTTTCTGTTACCGATTTTAAGAAGGTATCTGCGGAGATGTTGCCACCAATCGTCATGCGTGCCTCACATCTTTCCTGTTCCCATCTTGGACAAGCAAACATTGTGTGTTCTGGAGTATCATTGGGTTCAGCACAGTATCGGCATTCCGCGACTTCCCTCTTTCCAATTTTACACAGGTAACTCCCAAATTTTCCGTGGCCACTCAATATTTGAGTAAGATAGAAGTTTACCTCTCTGCTTGCTTTTTTAATCCACATATTTATATTTGGGATGAGCTTATATGTCCGTCTTCCTTTTTGTGATACTTCCCATTCTGCCTGCCACTGCTGCACTGTGCGGTTTCTCTCCATCTCTCTGCTTGCCCTGGTTTGTACTTCACCCTTGAGAAAGAGTCGTTCTCTTTCTCTTGAGAGAAGATGCAAGGGCACCAGACCCGATATCACTAAGGCTGCTTCATTTGAAGTTGTCCGATACGCCGAGCAGACCCTCAAAGCCATGACTCTCTGTGCACCTTCAAGTCTTTTTTTATTTACGTGCATATTGGTTGCTTCGTTCCACACAGGTTCCACACCGTTTAACATAGAGATTGCCTTTCTTCCCTGACCGTTTCTGTCCCTAATGGCTTTATCATGTGTGCCATCCCTTGAAATTTTGGCTCCCAAGTATTTATAATTTATGCAGCCGTTAATGTTTTGTTTTTGTTTTTTGATGACGTCTTTACTAACTTTTATTGATTTCTTTATACACAGATTATCTGCCTAAATAAAACTCGAAAATAGAAGAATCCGAAGATTTAGGAAGCGTTTAATTAAGAAAATGTAAAAATAATTTAACAATCTATGATGTACGATAATAAAATAATACAATCAATATAGGAAATATTATCAATTACTTACATTATTAGCGGCTGATAAGAACGATGAAGGTAGAAAATGTGATATACCCATGAGAAAAAATACAACGTAACATAGTAAGAATTTGTCCTTAGGAACTGCCTTGGGAGGTAATTTGTCTATAGAATTTCTGGCTTTATATACTATTTCTGAAATAAAAATAGCATTATCTTTATTACAAATTTAAGTGTATACTAGGAATACACTAAAATATAAATGTGTATAGGCTTGGTGCATTTCAGTTGATTTCAACAAATTCCGACCGCAGCGCTTCAAAGGAAAAAATCTGAAATTATCAATATACAGTTCACGTCGCCGCCATGTTGATCGCATTAAAATAATATTGAAATCGTGGTTTTCTCATAATATTTAAGTATTTTATTTTTGGTTAGTGCAGTTATTGAGACTATAAAACACGAGGTTTGTTTGTTGAGACTATAAGGTACGAGGTTTGTGTGATGTAACCAATGTAACCGTTTTCAAACTTCAAAAAGGCATTACAAAAAAACATATCAAAACATATCGTATTTATTGAATATTTTTGTTGTCATATTCATACACTTTTAATTTTTGTATAGTTCACCTGCGTCTGCTTGCGACGAACTTTATTTTATAATACTTTTCAGATGGAGTAAAATTGATAAGCAATGCCGATCTGGTTAATACTTGGCTTGATCATAAGGACAAAAACTCAAAATTATTTGTATTTCAAAAAATGTGTCCTTTATTAGATATTGATGAACCTTCCAGCCCAATGAGACAACCACTTGTGCCTGAAAAAGCCCACTATGTTGGAGCGAAATGTGGCATAAAAAAAGTTTCCATCTTTCAATTTATTATAAAACCTAATACCCAAGGAAACGAAAAAATAATATATGGATATGGTCTATTAAAGAGATAACTATTAACATCTGAACCCCTCATACCAACAAAAAGAACAGTAACAACGCGAAAAAGTACCATATTAGAAAATGATGTACAGAAATATCTTATATGTGAGGATATTTCATCTACCTGTGATTTGGATACTATAAATTTGGAAGATTCTGTCAGCAGTGATTCTTCTGAATCAGAGTAGTTACGATCTATGCATTTTGTTGTCCTAAAGTAAATTTATAGTATCTTAAGTTTTTTTTAATTAAATATAGCATTAATGTTCTTTTTCATTAAAGAAAAACATGTTTATCATATTTTAGGTTTATATTGTAGGAATCATGTTCTAATGTTATTCCAATTCTTTTTTATCACAGGGATTTATTTAATACTTACACCGTTTTCATACTATAAATTATTATTTCCTTAGATGGAACACAGCTCCAACTTTTTTATTATTTATAAGATTTTTTTTCATAAACGTGGGACTAAGAACATCATCATTTAGTACAATGAGAGTACTCATCATTTGTGTCAAATTAACCTAGTTTGAATAAATTGCCTACAATAAAAGAGAAGTTTTGCATTTTTGTCCTCTAGAGCCATATGTTCGAAGCACTGTGTGACGGCCGGCGGCGTGAACTATACTTATATTGATAATTTCAGATTTTTTCCGTGAAAGCGCTGTGGTCGGAATTTGTTGAAATCAACTGAAATGCACCAAGTCTATACGGGAAATGTCATCGACGTTCATTTCCAAGCCAACTGGACGCCGTTTTTTTTTCGATCATATGGTATAATGTCTACCTATACAAACATTATTATAAGTAGGCTACGAAAAATACATTTTGATGGCATTAAGCTCAAAATGTAGTAATATAGTTACCCATACTCAAGGTTCAAAAATTGCCTCAAATGCCAAGTTTTCGAGAAATATTCAAAAAAATCACCCAATATTTTATTTACCTAACCTAATCCTCCCCTTAGACTATCGGCTAGCCACGCTCTGGTAACACACGATAATCTACATATTAAAATGCTAATGTTTATCTGTGTCGTCTCTACTGAAGTAACGACTTGCTCTAGGAAGTTGCTTTTTTTATTAAAAGATAGCTAATTGGCTCCTCTAAAAACTGTCGTCGCCGTATTTTTTGTTTTTCATTTAATTAAAAAAAATAAAAAGTATTTTTTTTTCTGACGTCGCGTCGTGGCGGATGCGCCAGGCCTGTGACCAGGTTCAACTAGTATTTAATATATTTATCTAATTAATTTTGCACTTACCTGAAACAGTTTGAAGTTCAACCTTTTCCGCTTCCTGCATTTTTAAATATCACAAAAAATACACAACGTTTCTTAACGCATACTTATCACACTTAATTATAAAACAAAAGAGATCTGTGATATTTTTCGGAATAATTATATATATATATATAGAGCAAATCCTTTATTAAGTAGTAACGAAAAAATCAATGCCAGTTTTACCAAAATGCCTGAACCATCTAGTAATCAACATCTATCTGTACTTATATTGATTAGATAAATGTAAAAATATGTAAAACAAATAAGAGAAATAATACAGTTCATTAGAATCGTCAACTAATATTGTTTTGCAACGGTTTCGCTTTCAAAATTATGTATAAAACGATCTTTAAATTAAAAAAAAAGGTTTTATTGTGATATACCACACTAATTTTCCTTAGCCATACTAATATTTGAACAAAAATAAGTGCTCGAGTGCATTGGTAAACAATTTATGCTGATAATATTGGATAAAAAAACAATGAAATTGTTAAGTAGGTGTAAGTGTTTATAAGAAACATAAAAATATTACCTGGACATAATTTAAAAATGGGACCTAACTGTCTATGTAAATTTATTAGGATAGACAATTTTTATTTATTTACAGGGTGTCACAAACTCACTGCGTTTGAAATAAAATAAGTCACCTTTCTACAACAAAAAAAAACAACACATATTTAGACCAATTTTTCTAAAGAACCCCACAGACGCTCAGTTTTATCGCTCAGGCCGCCTGTGCAAACCTGGTTGGTGCAGTTATATCCGTACGTATGTTGGTAGATCAGGCCAACTGCGTAGGCCGTTTGGCCCAGCTTGAATTCGGCCTGCGCAACCTTTGAAGCCGGAACCTATACAGTGTGGTTCGAATTGTATTGCGGAAACTTCGGCAGCATATTCTGCAGGTTAAAATAAGTAAAAAAGTTCGTATAAATTTATGTCCTAAAATGCTTAGTTTCGGAGATACAGGGTGTAAAAGTTTCATTTTTATTTCGATTTTTTCCAAATAATCTATGAAGTAACATCAATATTTGGATGACAATTGGTGTCTAGGAGTTTTTTGACATGAGAAATTGGATTTTTATGTCAATATGACTCCTACTTGTAGAGGGCGCCACCTACATATGTTTTAACTGGTTTGAAGAGTAGTAACTTTTCGTCCATACCTGTATAAAACTACTGAGTAAAAAAATATAGATTTACAACTTTTTTTACATAAAAAAAGGCCTCTCAAATAAAAATAGCTACGAATAATGGTTCTCGAGATATTTGGAATTGAAATTATCAATACCTGTCCTCATTGACATAAATTAAACATGTTGACTAAATAGTTATTAGACTGAAATCATAAATTTGAACCTTTTTGTGCCAAAAGTTCGACAGAAACTGTTTAATCAGCATTTTTTCGCAGAAAATTTAGGATTAATATAAAAAAATAAAAATTTATTATTTCAGTCAAATAACTATACTCAACGAGTGCTTATTATTTGTCAATATAATGACATGTATTCACTATTTCCATTCTAAATATCTTGAGAACGGTTGCTCGTAGCGATTTTTACCAAGAGACATTTTTCACGTAAAAAGTCATGGAAATGTATATTTTTTAGTCAATAGTTTTATACAGGTGCGGACAAAAAGTTATTACTCTTCAAAACAGTCTAAACGCATGTAGGTGGCGCCCCCTACAAATAGGAGTTATTTTGTCATCAAAATCAAATTTGTCGTGTCACAAAACTCCCAGACACCAATTTTCATCCAAATATTGACGTTACTTCAGAAATTATTTGGAAAAAATCGAAATAAAAATGAAACATCTACACCCTGTATCTCCGAAACTAAGCATTTTAGGATATATACGATTTTTTGGCATACATTTATACGATTTTTTTGGCTTATTTTTATCTGCAGAATATGCTGCCGAAGTTTCCGGAATACAGTTCGGACCACCCTGTATATGATCCTTCATTTTTTACAGATTTTATTTAGTTTCCTTATATTTTCAGTACATAGATTAATGTGAAATTGTATAAAAGCAATGTTGACACAAACAGTTTTATAAGTAAGACTAGAAAAAGTACATTTAAAATTTCAGTAATGTGCAAGTAAGTCTTTTTTTGTTATTTAAATCATTTTAATGCCTCAAGTCATTTGATTTTAAGCCATTTCTCGAAAGCTGACTTAACACTTAAAATTTAAGTTTTTTTCAAAATGATTGAAACAGACAAAAGACTTAAGTCATTAAAAATATTTAAATCTTTTTATACAGGGTTGTTCACCACATACGACACGGAGTAGCTACAATACTCCGTGTTAAACGACTAGATTTTTACAAATTGTAAGTTTTGGGTTCGTTGAAGGACTATTAGAGCTACAATTTAAAAATATTTTTACAAGATACAAAGTGTCCCAAATAAATAAAAAATATTAAAGTTGTATTATTTTAAATGGAACACCCTATATATTATTACATTTTTAGTTTCTACGATTAAAATAAAGGTAAATTTGATTAAGGTTTATTACACTTAAACCTTACCGTTTTTGAAATATTTTCAATTTTGTGAAATTGCAGTATACATTTTAAGGCTTCATTTTTCCGAGGGTATCAAAGTTTTTAATACTAAATATTTACTGAAGTTTATTTATTGATCAGTTATTGTGTTGCAATAATAAAAACTTTACTACCTTATACAGAGTGTCTAAAAATTTATATTAAATAATTACTAGCTTTAAACGGCAATAACTTGTTTAATTTAAATGGAACACCCTATATTTTTTACGGGAATCAGATGCACAATGTAATTGTCTATCAAATTGTATTATGCCATTTTTTACCCATCTCTTCAAGTTTTCGTAGAAAATGCATTTTCTTATCATTTAGACCTGATAATCACTATACCCATGGAATATTGATTGACATTTTAGCTTATTTTTAAAGATGTAACAAATTTTCAAAGGGTACAGATACTAATATTGTCGATATAGTTGGCTTATTTAATTAAAAAATAAAAGAACTGTTTAAATATTTTTTGTTAAAGAGGACCAATTAATATGATCCCAGTATCCAAACTACATTAATTGACTGTTTACGCTGATTAATAATAATTGCTCCAAATACTAAAAAACTGAATTTTGTGTGTGTATTAGACAGTGTGGTAAAAGTGCCAATTTTATTTATAAAAACAGATACGATTTTCATAACTTATTATTATATTGATTTCTGATTCAAATCCACATTTATTTAGAATAATTTATTAACGAATACAATTAAGTATGTAGTTAATTAGTATTTGGGCGGAAATACTGATGGTTTATTTAATTAATGGTATACTCTTTTATAAAGATTTAAATAGTTTTCTTTTTGCATACAAATGGCCTAGTAATATTATCATTTTACTAAAAACGATAATATTACTAGCCTGTACATTTTGTACATTTGTTGTTTTAAAAACAATCTAAAATGTCAATATTCCATGGGTATATTGATAAATGAGGTCTAAATTATAATAAAATGCATTTTCTACGAAAACTTGAAGGAATAGGTAAGAAGTGGTATAATACAATTTGATAGACCGTTAAATTGTGCATCTGATTCTCATAAAATATACAGGGTGTTCTATTTAAAGTAAATAAGTTATTGCCGTTTAAAGCTAGTAATTATTTAAAATAAATTTTTAGACACTCTGTATAAAGTAGTATAATTTTTATTATTGCAACACAATAACTCATCAATAAATAATCTTCAGTAAATATTTAGTATTAAAAACTTTGATATCCTCGGATAAATGAAGCCTTAAAATGTATACTGCAATTTTGCAAAATTGAAAATATTTCAAAAACGGTAAGGTTTAAGTGTAATAAACCTTAATCAAATTTACCTTTATTTTAATCGTAGAAACTAAAAATGCAATAATATACAGGGTGTTCCATTTAAGAAAATACAACTTTGATATTTTTTATTTATTTGGGACACCCTGTATCTTGTAAAAATATTTTTAAATTGTAGCTCTAATAGTCCTTCAACGAACCCAAAACTTACAATTTGTAAAAATCTAATCGTTTAGCTACAATACTCCGTGTCGTATGTGGTGATCAACCCTGTATAAGGCTAAGTCAGATTTTTATATATTTTTACGTTAAATTTTTAACAGCCGCATTTCTTGCGTCAAAAATATAGTTTTTGAGGAACCGGTTTAGATTATTTGTTGTATTACACGTATGTAGTGAGTCTGTTATATTTCAAGTGAATCCCCGACTCCGTTATGTAGCACGAAAAACAAACGAAAGAAATTTGTCTTGAATATATTGAAGAGTACCTTAAAATCCTCCAACCCTTAGCTTATGTCATCGACATAATATTACATAGTGATCAAAACACATCACCACTTTTTAATAGGCATGTATTCGATGACATCTAAACTTTAATATATTAAACGTTTTACGAAACATTTCGTAAAACATTTCAGGGATAGTGTAGCGGATGTTGATTGAAACAACACAAAATAAAAATGCAGTTACGTCTGCATGAGTACGTATAAGTACAGATAAATAAACTCATTATAGTTTAAGATTAACAAGCAACTGATAACATTTTAACTTCGGAACAAATCAAGGCCCTTGAAAAAATTAATTATCGTCATTTTTTTTAAGGATCCTCAACAATAAGATAAAACAAAAATGTCAATTTTCAGTATAGGTACTTGAACTTCAAATTTAATTTGGTATTTAATACAAAAATATATTTGAATTTATTTTATTTGTTAAGATTCTGTTTATTTTTAGAAGGAGTAAAGGCAACGTCATCGTCAGTCTGAAACCAGCCTGAATTTTCCTTATTAATATTATCATTTTCTAAATACTTCTAATGCGAACTCAGCCAGAGACATTCTGTATAACCACAGCTTATTCATTAGACAGCCGGTCAATTTTGTTAGTGTTTGATTACCTGCCGTGCCTGTTTTCAGACACAATTTATCTATACAGGGTGCTACAAATTCGAGGTACGAGCATTGGTATCTCGGTAACCGTAATAGATACGAACATGGTTAAATTGGGGCAAAGTTGCCGCTTTGGGATGTTCACCAAGATGCCATCAAAAAAGTTTTAAAAATTTCAAGGATTGCTGAGTTTTTTTGAAAAAACGGATTTTTTTGAGAATTATTTTTATTTTTTCCTGGCGTTACTTTTTAGGCAATCAAAAAACTAATTGCACATTCTCATTGTCACTTTATTACGGCTATCTGACAGTATTTTTAGATTTTCAAATGACAGTAGAACCCCGATTATCCGAGTCGCAATTATCCGAGCTCCGGATTAACCGATCCAATCTAAAGACCCTGATTATCCGAGGTCGCGCGTCTATGGTCCGTATTAACCGAGCTTCTAAAATATGCTATATGTATATTTACATATTTCCGTTTAAAATCGTTGGGACTGCCGGGGAATCCCCTTGGCCCGTGTGAGTGGTTCCCCTTATTTATATTTTTGGACTCTTTTAGCATGTAAATTTGAGTGAATGCAGTTCGTTATTGCGTTCACTAGGAAGAAGTAGTATACGTATGTACTCGCATGATTTATCTGGGTGGAGTTTTAGTTAAGTGTATACCAACTGCTTTGTTTAAATTTTCGTTTGCCGTATTATAATGGAACGAAACAAACGTAAAAGAATTGTCGTTCCTATTGAAGAAAAATTAAAAGCCATTAGGAGAATTCAAGCAGGAGAGACAATTAAAATTGTTGCACGAGATTATATGTGTAGGTGAGGTAACAGTTGGAGATTTGGAACAGAAGCACTAAAATAGAAGAATGGTGTATAAACAAGTTCTTCGTCTTCGCCAAGAAGAAAAATCAATGAAAAGGGCGACTATGAAAGCGTTAACGGTGCTTTATTTACGTGGTTTACTCAGCAAAGATCAAAAGGTGTGCCTCTTCAGGTCCCATTTTGCAAGCAAAAAGCAATAATGATTAGTGTAAAACAACTCCAGAGACAGATAGGTTACCGGCAGTTCTGGATGGCTTGACCGCTGGAAAAAACGGTACGGTGTACGACAACTGACTATATATGGAGAAAAACTTTCTGCTGATGTGTCATCAATTGAAAAATTTAAACAGGACTTTAAAAAGCTAATCAAATATTGTAGGTATACATGTGATCAAATTTATAACTGTGACGAAAGTGGTTTGAATTATAAAATGCTTCCATCAAAAACATTGGCATCTCGACAGGAAAAATCAGCTCCTGGGCACAAAAGAAGTAAGGAAAGATTAACCATAATGACATGTTCCAATGCATCTGATAATCACAAAATTCCACTTATGGTGATTGGCAAGTCTGCACATCCAAGAGCGTTAAAAGTCATCTCACCCAAAGCCCTACCAGTTTATTACAAAAGTCAGAAGAGTGCATGGATGGATGCGACGTTATTTACTAACTGGTTTAAAGAAGAGTTCGTGCCATCTGTGACTAAATTTTTGAAGAGAACCAGCCTCCCTATTAAAGCAATTTTGTTGGGGGGGACAATGCCCCCTCTCACCCTGGAGGACTCCACGTGGGCGAAATTGTAAATTTCTTTCCTCCAAATGTAACCAGTATAATGCAACCAATGGACCAGGGCGTCCTCGAAAAGATAAAAAAAAATATAGGCGTTTATATCTTGAACATCTACTAGAATGCACAGAAAAAAAAGAGGATATTATCACTGGGATAAGAAAGATTACACTAAAAAATGTTATTTACTGGGTAAGCCAAGCTTGGGATTCTGTACGCGGTTCCACTATTCAAAAATCTTGGTCGAAAGTTATTGATATTGAGGACTATAATGACAGTGAAGATGATATTCCATTAAATGAATTGGCTTTGAAATGGAAAAGCCGCGGAGAAATGTCCTGTACAAATTTAAACGAGAGAGGAGAAGAAGAAAGTTTATTAGAATTAATGCAAAACTTGAAAGGTTGCAAAAATGTGACAAGACAAGACGTTGATGAATGGGTTACAGCAGATGATTTAGAAGAAGAAATGAACATTGAAGAAATAGCGAATGCGTTTCTCAGCGAACGTCTTTCTTCGAAAAATCAGATGACGATAACTATGACGAAGAGGTGGATGAACAGCCTTAAGCCACTAAGATTACCCATCAAGGTTTTGCTTCTCTGGAAACAGCTCTGAAGTATATCGAACAACAATCAGAGGCAACCCCAACAGATTTGCTTCTTCTTAACAGATGGAGAAACATGGCAGCGAGAAAAAGAAGATGCAATATGAAACAGCAGCGCATAGATACTTATTTCACTGTTTTATAATGTAGATTGTATCTACATATGTAGGTACTTATGTATTTACATGTTAAAAATGTTAATAAACCGTTTAAAGTATGTATTGGTGCTTATTTTTAATAAATCCGGTTATCTGAGTTTTCATAGTTATCCGAGGAGGGTGTCCCCACGTTACCGGATAACCGGGGCTCTTTACTGTAGCTATAATTTGTGAGATACAGTGGCCAACTTAATCTTGGAATTTGTTTAAATACGGACTTAAATTTTTTATTTCAGATTTTGAAGGAACTCGGTCTCCTGAGTACAATGATATGCCACACTTAATATTTTTATTGCTTCGGACATTTGAACATAATTTATTTATACTAATTTCAAGTCCGGCTCTGATTTTTTAGAGATTTAATCTATTCATCGTTACAATATTGATAAGCTTTCAAACTTAACAATGACGTGGGGAAAATCAAATGCAATAACTAAAGGGGCATTACTTGGCGTCATTTGTAAAAGTGAAATCAATACATTTCAACATTTACAATAAAGAGTACAAAATACATTCGGAACTATCACAAGAAGTTATGTTCAAAGAGCTATAAATAATCAACAAAAAAGAGATTTGTCCATTAGGAAGGGTAGTAACCCTTTCGAACATGTAGTGCATTAGAAACTAGTTTATAGAAGTTGATTTATTTATAACAACTACGATTAGTATTATGAATATTATTAGATACACATTATATTATTACGATTAATTTTATTAATTAATTAGATATACATTAGTACACTGAGATTCCAAATTCACAATAATAAAGTTAAAAATAATATCTCTAAATTGCTGACCTGGATATTATTTATTTGAATCTTTGAATTGGGTTGATTTTCCTTATTCAATGTTAATTAGCGCTGATCAATATTGTTGCCAAGAATATAATCAGATTAAATAATTTAAAAAAAACAGAGTCGTAAAGGTACCCAAAACAAAAAATAAGTATCAAGTGTGGCATATCATTATACTCAGGAGACCGAGTTCTTTCAAAACCTGTAATAAAATGCAGGTCCGGCAGTTATAAATATACAGTCGACGCGCTAAAATTCAAAATAAATTCTTAGTTATAAATCGTTTGTAAATAGTTCTATAAGTCGTTTATCGTTATTAGTTTTGTTAATTAGTGTTAAATAAATAGTGTTTAAATAAATTGTGACTTTCTATCCACACGGAACCGACGAAAAACGTAACAACAGGAAAAAATAAAATTGATTTTCCAAAAAATTCGTTTTTTCCAAAAAACTCAGCAATCCTTGAAATTTTTAAAACTTTTTTGATGGCATCTTGGTAAACATCTCAAGGTGCAACTTTGCCCCAATTTAACCATATTCGTATCTATTACGGTTTCCGAGATACCAATGCTCGTACCTCGAATTTGTAGCACCCTGTATACAAAAGTGCTTCGTTTGTGCCCTAAAGGACATCAAACTTTAAAAAATAAACCCGTGTTTTCGGATATTGTAAGACCTGCGTTATCCGGTTTGAATAAGATTTTGGGTGTCTATAATATGTTTTGCTAAGTGCTTTATTAACATTTGTGTTTTACAAAAATCAAGAAAAAGTACGGGATAACGTTTTATTTTGTAATCCGATTTTTATCATTGTGGTATCAGTGTGAAAATAAATTTATTGGCATTATTTTTATTATTTTAATGACTTATATTCTTCGGTTAGGTGGGTTTATACCGGGGTAAATTCAAAACACCCGGTGGAAAAAATGAGACGGGCATTTTGGATAAAAAACACTTTCCTGTAATCTTGGATTTGTACCTAATGCCGAGTTCAGACCAAGGCGACAAGAAGTAAACACGATTTTGAGACAAAAACAAGACAAACTTGCGACAAAAAATGGAGAATTCTGACAAGACAAACTTGTCCACACCGCAAGGACAAAAGTACAACAAAGTCAAAAGTTTAGTTATTGCGAATGAGTTTTATTAATCATGTTATGCCAGGAAACGAAAACATGAATTCGGAAAAAAATTGTGTCAAAGAGATCATTGTTTTAAGTGGTTCGGTTGATCCAGAGAAGTAACATACCAAAAGTCCAAAAGTCCTGAAACAGCTCCATACGTGAGGACAGGCAAGACACACTGGTTAAAGATCTTTCTTCTTAAACATATGGGAATATCAGATCTCAGTATATGCCTTAGTTTGCCGAATGCCGCCCACGACAAACCTATTCTTCGTAGAATTTCGTGGGTCTGATTATCCCTTCTAATACCGATCTCATGCCCTAAGTATTTATATACTAAGGGCTGGCAAAGGTTAGTCTTGGGTCGAGATTTCCGTGTGTAAGAAGAGTATAATGCGTTTATAATGTACTGAACAAAGAGAGGACAGTAAACACGTTGCCAGACATATGAAATAAACCGAGAAACTGTGCACATCCCTAAGAGACGTGGAAGGAGATATAGCAGATTTGCCGCAGTTGATCGGTCGACCCAATCAGTCAGTAGTCAGTACCTAAAGTTCTAGGGAGAGATGTACATTATGCGTTCAGTTTCACGATTTAATTACGTCTCATGATACTTTATTTGTTTATTTATTAACGAGTCGTTGTAATTTTCCCTATAGCTTGAAAATTTTTAAGTGCAAGCTAGAAACACTTACATTTTTGGTAAAAATAAGTGGAATTGAGTTGGTTTTCGACAGTGGTCGGGCTATTGGAACTCTGAATTCGAAAATCGATATCTCGAAATCTATTAGAAATAATTGATTGTAGTATTTCCAAAAACTTTCTTAATATTTCTGCTGTATTTTCTTCGTAGACAGTAAGTGAAAATCTTTATCAATAAAAAACTACACGACTGCTGAAAATTGCTATGCTCTAAAAGTAAATAGATGGGTTGTTTACAATTTTTGAATGAAAAAAAACCAACATTATCGAATTTTTCTTATGTAAACATGTTATAAAAGATCCTATAAAAAAAGTTTCAATATCTAAAGTGTTTCTTGAGTTATGGCGTGTTATGTGTTAAAAAGTTGAGTTTTTAAATTATCGCGATTACTGACGTTTTCTCGTTATAAAAAATGACACCTTAAAGATATCCTTATAATTCCATTTCAGATGCTCAGAAACATTTCTAATGATTTTATCTAGTTATCTTTTCGAAAAAAAAGTATTTTAAAAATAAGCGGTTTGCGATCGTTATTTTACTTTACTTGATAGGGAAAGGCGTATCGGCAACGCCGCAACAGCACACCGTCGCATTTCTCTCACTCCGACTTAATAAGATCCCTATGCGATTTACTTCCACACATGTAAATACCGACCCAAGAGTAACAGTTGCCAGCACGGTAATGCACTTGTTCCAAAGGTATGTTATTAATGTTTAAATTTCCACTTAGTACTAGGTTTGTCATGTCTTGTGTCTTTGACAAGTTAATTTTTAAACCGACTTTTTCCGAAGCATCATTCAGCATATCCAGCATATTCTGTGCCTCCTGTATGTTGTCTGTTATTAAAATAATGTCATCTGCAAAACAAAGATGATTTATCAATTTGCTATCGATGTTAATTCCTGTTGAATCCCCAGTTTATCATTTTTAACATACTTTCTAGCACAGCAACGAATAATTTAGCGGACAGTGTGTCGCCTTGTCTTGCCCCTCGATCGATATTAAATTTGTCTGTGCATTGATTTGTCGATATTCTGACGTTTGCCGTGGCATTATCATATATATGTCTTATGATTGAGGAGTATCGATGATCGATACGACTCTCACTTAGTGTCTCTAGAAGCTTCCACTGGTCTACCGAATCGAATGCCTTCTCAAAATCCACGAAGACAAGCATTAGTGGTCTATTATACTCAATGCATTTCTCGAAAATAGACTTTTTTCTTTCGAGCGAACAAGCAGGTTTCCGATCAGGTTACGGAACAAACGATCATCTTCTAACAGTCAAGGTCCTTATCGAGAAATGCATTGGAAAAATATCAGTACTTTATTTAAAAATGTGTAGCTCATAAAAGAATAGAGATAATAGGAAAATTCAAAAAATGAAATATACTGAATAAATCTAAGATTACAAGAAAGTGTTTTTTATCCCAAAATGCCCGTCCCGTTTTTTCCACAGGGTGTTTTGATTGCAAAAAACGAAGTTTTGATTTACCCCTGGTATAGAACCACCTAACCGAAATATATAAGCCATTAAAATAATAAAAATTAATGCCAACAAATTTATCTACAAACTAATACCATAATCATAAAAATCGGATTACAAACTCAAAAGTTATAAAACATCAAACTTAGTCAAAATTTTAGGGTGGCGGAATTTTGTGCCGGGGAGTTTATAATTAATTAAAAAAACAATACAATCTGTTTGTTCATTCTTTATTAAATTTACATATTTAACATCTCCAAAAAATAAAATATTTTTTGTTCACGCGTTACATAAGACAATACGAATCTTATTAACAATGACTTCTCTCAGTAAATCATTTAAAAACTATCCATTAAATATTTTACAGTGTCATGATACTCTTTTAAACTTAAAGAATATTTCAGTGCGAATCTTATCGGTAATACCGGATAAGATCTTTCAGTACGTAAGTTACCGATCTAGAAGAGGTGGCTCTGAAACAAAAAAAACAAGTGATAAACTCTAATTTATACAGTGGGCAAGTTTCAAGTGTCATTAAACTAAATAAAATTTAGATGAAATGATCCTTAAATCTTATAACCTACCATCATTAGAAGTTGAATACAAAGTTTGTAATAAAACCAAAGTTAAAAAGCAATAATAAAAAATTTAAATAAGAACATAATTAATCTGACTTAAGGCGGGTTGACACGGTCCAAGTGTACTTGGACCTTGGACCAAGTATGCTTAGATGCTGCCATGTTCTTATATTAATGCTACGCGCATCTTACTTGTAGACTGTTTGTATAGTGGAAGGCTTTTTAACATCAAAGTTGCACGAAACTTCCTTTTTTTCTTGTTGGTCCCTTTGAGTAAGAAGACTAAGGAAGGAGCATATCAAAAATCTTAGGTACACCGCGATGGGCCTCAAATATGGCCGACTTAAATTCCGGTTTATCAGTGTCGTTCTAATTTTATTTAAAAAATGTAAAACTATGATGTAGGGTAGACGTGGGGTAGACTCAATAATTTGTTGTTTTATGTTACGTTGTGAATAAATGTTGGTAGTTATTAAAATTGTTATAAAAATATATAATTCTAATAAAAATAGATAAGTTATAATAAGTATTTATTAACACAAACATCCGATACGCTACTGAAGCAGGTAAGTCAAATTAACGTATCTAAATTCTTTGACATCTAATCTTTGACAAGTAATAAATAAAAGCTAAAATGCAAGAAAAATATATAATTTAGTTAATTTAAGTAAATTTCATAAATGATCGGTTTACTACACGTATGTATATTATATAGTCACTTACTAGCGAAAAGTTGTTCCATTATTTCACTCAATTTTTGCCGAGATCTACCGCACGCTACACAACCAACTATTTGAGAATCTTTTTCGATAAATCGCGATAGTGTCACTGTTAATTTAAGTTCTGCCACAATTTCCATCTAGATTTACTACCTTTATACAACTATCAGTGGTAGAATAAATAATAAATAACATAAAATAAGCTCTGTAAAGACTGACAAATCCACAAAATTTCAAATCAAATTCAAATGTGTCAAATGAATCGTCAAACAGAACTGTCAAGGATCCCCACCCTAGAGTGCTTTAATGGCGCTTTTTCCGCCCACCATGCATGAATACATGGATAGCATTATGCTCCTTCCTTAGTCTTCTTATTCAAAGGTTGGTCCAACTCGATTTTGACAAGACAGTTGATACCATAGAAACTGCATAAAATGATACGCGTGCAGCATCCATATACATATACAGGGTGTTTCAAAAAACAAGTGCCATCTCTCATGGGGAGGGTCCTCATGTAAAAATAAGATTTATTTTTCATATCAACATAGGTCCGATTCTGTTTTGTTTCGTAGCTACAGGGTGTTGAAATCTTAATAATTTTCGATTTATTATATTTTTTTCCAAGTATTCTTAGTGATTCAAATGAAATTTTGGGGGTAAAAGTTACTATAAGTGCTACATATTTTCATGTTAAAAAAGTGTCGATAAATTAATATAATTAATTAATCTAAAATAATAATAATATTAATAGATTTAATATCTACACAATTTTTTATTCTAGTAAATCTAAAGTACTCATCATAAAAATCTAAAATCAACTCTATCGAATAAATATTAAAAAAATCGAATTAACTAGCATTACCTAGAACTAACCCAGTAATCCATTCCTAAACTAAACTAGCTCTTGACCTCTTCTAATATCGGATTTTATTTTCCTCTCCAACGCCTTCCTGAAGTTTTGGTTTGGGTTGGGGTATCAATATGTGAAAACTACATTGCTAACGCCATCACTATTCTAACCAAACTTCTTCTTTGGATTGATTATTGCGCCATTTTTTTATACCATAATCTTCAAATGAATCCTCCAAAGCATGCAATGGCAGGGTTGCCATGTAATGTTCTTATTTGGGTTTGCAATTACATGCTCTGAAGGAAACTCTAAGACTATATAAAAAAACTTTATTTCGAATAACTAGTACAATCTGTTCTCGTGTAAATCTCAATAGTATAGTCTATAAAATGAATAACTTTGAATTTTGACCGTTATTTTTTACCAACATGGCAAATATAAAATCTCTCTATCCAAAAAGTTACTGATATTCTTTAAAATTAGTGTCTGAACGAATCAGATAGGTAACTCTTTTTACTTTCGTGAAATAGAAAAGGAAAATAATAAAACAAGCAAAAAACAAGTGACATTTCTTCCTTTTCTTGCAAAAATCAACGCGAAATGTCATAACTGACAAAAGTAAAATGTCATCAGCCTTTGACATTTCTAAATATCAGACCAACGCCGTCTCTAATAGAACAGCCTCGGAGCGAGATTTATGACGTGACGCTAGTTAGATATCACGGATTAATAAATATGTTGTAGAATACATGGAAAACATAATTATTCCTCGTATTTTTGGTTTGTATTTTAAGAATGATATAGTTTACATAAAATATACATAATATACAGTTAATAAATGTTTTACAATATACAAATAATGAATAGGTACATAAGATAATGGGTAAAATGTAAAAAATATTTTAAATTTTGGGGTTTGAAAATCGATCTAATTTAACAAAAAACATTCAATATCTACTAATAGTGATATATTATTATTTCCATTCACAAAATTTATATCTATATTTTGCAAGCATCAATGTTCGAAAAATTATATTTCCAAATAATACAATATCATAAAAAAAGGCGTCAGCGATGGCTATGAAATAAAGATCGCTGTCATTTTATATGTAAAATTATTCTAAAATTTTTGATTTTCTTGGGATTTAGGTTCGGGAAAAACGCTGATTAAGTTTTTATTTGGGTTTTCATTATTTTTGTTGGTTTAAAAAAACGTTATAGCTAACGTTTATAGCCTTCATCAGTGTTGTGTCATATGAAAAAAATAGTGTCGAATATAATCCAAAAAATTACATATGCGAGGAACAATTATGTTTTCCATGTATTCTACAACATAATTAATCCGTAGTATCTAACTAGCGTGACGTCATAAATCTCGCTCGGAGGCTGTTCTATTAGAGACGGCATTGCATCAGCATGGCCGCAAGTTGCTAACCTAATAAAATTTACACTAGAAAAGCCCGCGGGAACTGTCAAATTCAAAGTTATTCGTTTTACAGACTATAAATTGAATTCGGTTAACCCTAATTAGCATATCGCGCGACATCCAATAATGCATAGTTGCATTCCTAATATTATATAAACTGACCTTAATTAACTTAACTTAAGAAATATTTATATCTAAACTATTATGTACAGGGTGTAATAATATTTATACACTACATATCAGAGACGTGCATATGGGTTATTTTTCAAAAAAAAAATGTGTGCGCCACTGACTTTTTCCTTTTGATATCAAAATTGTGGAGGCCGTTTAATGCCAACTAAAAGTTAATAAATTATATATTTTATCTAATTTATTATTAAATATTATTACCATTAGTTATTATTACTATTAGTCCAACCTACAGCAATTTCAAATAAAAAAATAATGATATTTAAGATAATTACAAAAAACCTAATTTTAAAAAGTTTTAACATCCTGCAACTCTAAAACTATGCATTTCCTTATCCATATTTATATGAACTTTTTTTATATTTTTTGATGAGGAATCAATGAGTACTCATTTAAAACTTTCGCAAGTTAATGATATTATTTTTTTTAAAGGTTGCTATCAGACTTGGATCAAGGCAAATTAATAAAACTGTGTTTATCTCATCAAGGAGGCCGAAATCGAAAAAATATCAAGAGACAACTTTTAATCGGCATTAAACTGCTTACGCTATTTCGCTAACAAGAGAAAGAAAGGTCAGTGGCGTACATGCTTCTTTTAGATAAATATTCCAGTGATAACCCATATGCACGTCCCTGACGAATATGTATATGTCGACACTTTTTTTACCTTTAAAATATGTCGCATTTATAGTAACTTTTACCCTCAAAATTTTATTCGAAACGCTAAAAGTACTTGGAAGAAAATTATAATAAATCGAAAAAATAATAAGACTTTAACACCCTGTAGCTACGAAACAAAGCAAGATTGGGCCTATGTTGATATGAAAAATAAATCTTATTTTTATGTGAGGAATCTTCACAGGATGGCCCACGTTTATTGAAACACCCTGTATAGGTCATACAAAATAAACTTTTATTGACATGATTAAGCTTGACCGGCACAGCGTTACCCACTTTTACATATTTTCTTTTAATCAAAATATTTTAGGAAACAAAGATAAATTAATTATAAATATATAAACAGTTATTATTTACATCAACCAAACTCACCTCCTTAACAGTACTTAAGGGACATAAAGACCTATTACTACCGCTTTTCCGCTCAAAATATTCTAATAAGGTTGCGATGAGTTTTTTTGCAACGGCTATTAAGCTATCTTGTACACTTCGCACTAAAAGAAGTTCTAAAAAGAACAATGTTCGACTCCAAGGTCTGCTAGTAAAAATTTTAAGCTTAAAGTATCACAACACAATTCGTATAAACCAAAAACTAGTAATACAAAACTAAAGTGTCAAAAGGAATGACACAATGTCAGGAAATATCCAGAAACCATGAATATGTTCGGTTGACTTGATCCAAGTACACTTTGACCGTGTCAACCAGGCTTCAAGCATATACGTATAAACTATATACAGATTATCGCCTATCCCTGCAATGTGTTGGAGCTGAAGCCGAGATAAAGACAATTAGATAACCGGTCTATGTATATTTAAGTTCGTCTGTTAGGCAGACACTGGCGCAATAGCGCAACTCCAAAATTCCGAATATCGATTAGCCCTTACTCTAAAGATTAGCCAATTGTCGTACGGAAGCGCAAATAAAAACCGTACGAAGTTGGACGAAGCTGCACGAATGAACCGCTGGTGCTAGCATCTAGTCTCTTATTGGTCTATTTATCCGATTAATAATTCAAAATCCACGTTTGCGCATCACACTTGAGCAGGCCTAACTGAGCGACTTAGGCAGACAGTATGGTTACTTTATAAATATATGACTTCAGGCTTACCTTATAAATGTCACATGAAGGTCATTCAATTGTTCTGGAGTGGCCGCCATGATACCGCCATTATTTCTTTTCGGAAGCGTATCCAGTCCATTCATTAACCACTTACTCGTTGTTGTTCTGTTGAAGTCTAGGAGCTGGACAAATACGTCACTTACCTGTGAAATCAAAAGCAGCTTTCTTAAAAGTTTAGTTGTTTTCAGAATACAGAATTATAGAGTTTCAAAAAAATATATTTTTAGGGTTCCGTACACAAAAGTTTTAAAACGGGAACCCTATTACTAAGACTTCACTGTCTGTCCGTCCGTCCGTCTGTTACAAAAGTCTATCTTATGAACCGTTATAGCTAGACAGTTGAAATTTTTACAGATAATGTATCTATGTTGGAGTTGAAGCCGTTAAAATCTAGGATTCCAACCTGCCTTACTAATGTTGCCGCTATAAGAACAAATACTAAAAACAGAATTCAATAAATGTTTATAAATAAAAAAGTACTTTCACTAAACATTATCTTTTAAGTAAGAATTTTACATAGAAGCGTTAGGACTTTACGCTGCTATGACGTTGGAGCCGTAGTAAGGCAGGTTCGAATCCTAGTCAAGGCGACTTTTTTTAATCGTTTTTTTTTAATTTCTACATATTTATTTTTACTTTTTACATATTTATTATTGATTAATACAATTTTTAGTAATGTGTTTCTTCATTTTTTTTTAAATTACTTATACGCGCATTCAAAATTTCATCTAAATCGGAAAAAAAGTTTATAAAAATATAATGACTAATGTTGTATAGATAATGAATGGTACTGTTGCGGACCCGTACCGTGTGAACTCGGCCTTAGGCCTGGCCACTCGCCTATGACTCATACGCCCAGCGACGCCGACGTTCTAGAACGAATAAGAATTGTCGAGACATATCTGGATTGTCTGTCGCTCTCATATATAAGCAGACGCCTGAGGCCTGGGGAAGATAGAGATAAATAACAGGTCGACGCGTACAGTTACAATCGCCGCGCTAATTCAAAATAAATTCCTGTTAGATAAGTAATTAGATAAATTGTAAATAAGTTATAAATAGTTCTTTAAGTCTTTTAATCGTTATTGTTTTTGTTAATTAGTGTTAAATAAATTGTGTTTAAATAAATTGTGACTTTCTATACACACGGAACCGACGAAAAACGTAACAGTACGGAACCCTTCGTGCACGAGTCCGACTCGCACTTGACCAACTTTTTCTTTTTTGTCATATCCACTCTTTTCTTTGTTATTCCTAGCATATTTCCTTTGATATTTCGTTCCATTGAGCGTTGTGTCACCCGCAGTTTCCTTATGATATGGGTTTTAAGTGTCCAGGTTTCACATGCATAGGTCATGACTGGTAGCCAAAGTGCAAAAAATAAAAAAATCGATTTTTTTTATTTTAATCAGATTTTTTTATTTTAATCGGGTTTTTTTGATTTTAATCAATTTTCTGTTTAAAGTCCTATCCTAAATGGCTAAATCTTCGTAACTCGATATCGATAATGTTAACATTTCAACGGTGTGTGTCGTTTTTCTGCATAGGTCACCGATATATTTTATTCTGTAAACTTTGCCGATGCTCCTATTTGGAAATTCAATTAAATATTTGGAAATTATTTCCAAAGGGATTTTTTTTGGAAATAGTCATGACTGTCTTAAGTCAAAAATAACGTCAATATTTGGATGAAAATTGGTATCTGGTAGTTTTTTGACATGAGAAATTTGATTTTGATGTCATTATGGCTCCTATTTCTAGAGGGCGCCACCTACATGTGTTTTAACTGTTTTGAAGAGTAATAACTTTTTGTCCGTACCTGTATAGAACTACCGAGTGAAAATTTTTACATTTTACATAAAAAAATGTTTCTTGGTAAAAATCGTTACCAGCAACCCTTCTCGAGATATTTGGAATGTAAATAGTCAAAAAAAATCATTATTGACAAAAAATAAACATGTTGAGTAGGTAGTTATTTGACTGAAATGATAAATTTGCGAAATTTTTATTTTTTTAAATTATTCATAAAATTTTCTTCAAAAAAATCGTGATTGATGATGATTTGGCACAAAAACATTTCAAATTTATGATTTCAGTCTCTTAACTATTTAGTTAACATGTCTAATTTATGTCAATGACGTCAGGTATTGATAGTTTCGATTTCAATTATCTCGAGAACTATTACTCGTAGCGATTTTTATTAAGAGATCTTTTTTACGTTAAAAACGTGATAAATGTATATTTTTTTACTTTGTAGTTTTATACAGTTACGGACGAAGAGTCATTACTCTTCAAATCAGTTAAAAATATGTAGGTGGCGCCCTCTACAAGTAGTAGTCATATTGACATTAAAATCAAATTTCTCATGCCAAAAAACTCCCAGACACCAAATTTCGTCCAAATATTGACGTTATTTCAGAAATTATTTGAAAAAAATGAAAATAAAAATGAAACTTCTACACCCTGTATCTCCGAAACTAAGCATTTTAGGACATACAATTATAAGAACTACTTTACTTATTTTTATCTGCAGAATATGCTGCCGAAGTTTCCGGAATACAGTTCGGACCACCCTGTATCTGTCAAACATATACTAAATAAAACACATGCACTTACTTCAGGCAACAGGTACATCTGCAAATAGAACACGCACGCCTGCAGCAGACTGGTCACCAATTGCTGCCCGAACTGGTCCAGAATGTCCTTGACCAGCTTGTGTCGTTCGGCGTAGTCGGGCTGGGACTGTCCAGTCTGACCCTGGTTGATCAGGTCGCAAAAGAACTTCATCACGGACACGTTGGCCTCCTTGTGGTCCAGCTGGGAGGCCAGCAGGGCGCACTGGATGATCGGAACGAGGGCGGAACACTGGAGGAAGGACATGGGGGCGCGGCGTATAAATCGGCCACATAATCTGCAAATTAAGAGATATATTAGGACAACTGAAGAAAAATGCCGCGGGATGTGTACAGGGTGGCGCCTCTCATACGCCGCGGAAGCTCCAAGGAGAATGGTAGTTTATAATTTGATTGAAAGTACAATAGTTAATTTAACTACATATTAGGCTATACCGGGTAAATTCCAATTTAGATAGCTTTTATTGTAATTTAAAAATTGTTCTTTATTTCTGGAAAATGTTAAATATGTCAAAAACTTTACATTTTAGTTACATACTTCTCTTAAAAACTCACCTTTATTTTTCTCCCAAAGTCCGAAAACCAATTAATATATATGGCGTTCCATTAAAAAAACACAACTTTGACATGTAACTTTTTTGGGGGACACCCTGTAGAACTCTCTATATTTTTAAAAGGTGCTCTGAATTAACCTACATATGCTCACAAAATTTCATTTCAATACAAACTGTCGTTCTCCTTGGAGTCTCTACGGCGTATGAGAGGCGCCACCCTGTATAGGCGTTCTTATCGACATGTTACGAGTATGATTCGAAAACAGGTGTGTCTCTTTAGCGGTTGAACAGTGGCGTACGATTTTTAACTAACCTAACCTAACCTAGTGAATGTTAACAATCACTGAATTTCCGACTTTCACTGTAACATATATATTATTTTTATGTATATACGGAGCAACCCGGAATCATTGAAATAATTGGCAATATATTGTTAGAGGATTTTAGAATTAATGACTGACACCAAAGCTAAAACAAATTATAGATATTTTAGCAAATTATATCAAATCATTGACATCAGTTTTTTGGTTTGTCCTATCTTCTTGTAAATTTTAAATTTTAACAGAAAAAAAAATTGACGAAAAATATTAGTATACTCGTACTAGTTTCTTTATACTACACTCTAACTCTGTAGACAAAAAATTGGACATTTACATTTTTTCTATCTATGAAAAAAATCTGAAATATAGGAATAATATATCTTTAAGATTATAAAACACTTAAACTTGAGAGAAAAATAAAAAAAATACCTGAAAAAATCATCCACTGTATCTGGATGGTTTCTAAGTCCGTGTTCTTCTTGTAACATCTGGAATGTGGGTTCTATAAACATCTGAAACAATTAAGACATAATCGTTGAAAAAACTAAGAAATCACACATATTTTCAAAGTAAATACCTGTAACATGTCGATAAGACCGCCTATACATCGCGGGTCGGTAGCGTACTCATCCACTAGTATGCTGCCAACATATAGAAAACACGAATGCTTGTGGACGCTATAAATCCTTACTATTTGGCCAACTAACGTTTGTAGGACTTCGTGAATCTACGACAAAGTGATATAAAAATTATCTGAGAAATTCGCTTTACTCTTGAAAGAAATTCCCCTTTTTTGAAGCTCCCCCGTATATGAAACCAAAGACATCTCTATGAATGTGGTAGACAATGATTGGGTTTTGAAATATTCTGTTTTCTTTTATCAGGTAAGATTTCGACAGACAATGACAGAAGAAAAGTTGATGACGTCCATACCAATCTATTTATTTTACTAAAAAAAGTTTATAATATTTTTTAAGTTAACTATGGATGGGTTTAAATATAAATCCCGTAATGCGTCGTCTCTTGTTGTTTTTAACCAGTTTTATTGGTTTATTTCAAAAATGACAGATCATATTTCAGTTTTATTGGTTTGACGGAACGATGAACGACAAACGGACGCCGATGCGTATGAACTCGCCTTTAGATTTTTGAGGCTTGTCAAAGTCTTGCCAAATTAATAGGCAATATTTCGTATTATATTAAGTGTTATTATTAATAAAATAGTTTGTTTTATTTATGTTGTTTTATTTATTCCTATGGAATATTACAAATTTGTATTTGTACATAAGTTATATTGATAAATATAATAATAATCTCTTTTATATTTTTTGGTATGTGGTGTTCTGTTCTTGTTTGTTTTGTATTAACACATACCGTTTTTTTTAATAAAATAACTCAATTAGATTTTCTCAGTTTTATACAGCTTTTTCCACAATATTTTGAAGTAATCACTTGTCACTCAAATTTTAAATATATTAATTTCCTGCTATGCGTTCCAATTGTACCAACTTATTTCTTTGTAAAATAAAATAAACTACTTTGAAATTAAAATGACAGACACATCTATCACTGTCAAGGATCTTGTCGTTGGACAGACTATAAAATGTGTAAAGACCATGGAAGTCCGAAATTATTTTCGTTTCAAAACGAAAGACATCTAAATAAAGTAATTTCTTTACAATCATACAAACTTTAACACTTTTATATGAGTTAAAAGAAGATGGGTACATAAATATGGCAACGCTGTTGAGTTCCGTGTGCATTTCTATTTTTTCCGACTACCAAGTGGCGTTCTGTTTTCTATCAACAATCGTAAAAAGTAAGTTTAATTTAAATTTTGATTTATAATGCCGATTTTAACTACCACTTTTGATTTTTAAATGGCACCCTCGGTATATTTTTACTTTATTCGATAGAAAATGACACCCTGAATAGAATGACATACCATACGTCAACATTTGACATTTTCCCTTAAAAAATCGTATTTAAATTTCAATCTACAGTGCCATAATTGTGTTAAAAACATTAAATTTTAATCAAGGAGCCTTGAAAAAATAGATTTGATTGTCTAATGTTTTTCGTGTCTTGTCCTGGCCGGTTAAAAGATGCCCAAATCGTATTTTTAATCATATCTCACTTTTTTCAAATGGAACGAGGGTGGCTCATTAGCATATTTAGAAAAAGTATTTTTTTACGAATAATTTGGTAACACACACTTGGTATTTCGCGTCAAATTGTCGTTCTGAACCGCACGTTACAATTTCAAATAACCCACATACGAAAATATCAAAAGTTGACATATGATATGTCATTCCATTCAGATCGACATTTTCTATCAAATAAAGTAAAAAAATACGGAAGTTGTCATTTAAAAATCAAAAGTTGTAGTCATTTCCGGTGAAACAGGAAGTGACCAAAAACAATTGAATTCGCCAATCAATCCTAATTTATGTCATATACTAACATAACAAATCTCGTTTTTTATCTAAAAAATACAATATTATAGAGATGAGCCACATTTTTTTGACACCCGGTATATTTAGTTCGCCGTTTGTATTTGTACCCAAAAAAACATTAATAATAATAATAACATACTTCGCTTTCAAACACAAGCCGTAGATCTAACGCAACCCGCAGAAATTTGACAACATCGACTTTTCATGAAAACGATGTTTGATCGCGATAAAATGTAAACAGCTTTGTCTCCCTTTATTTAGATGTCTTTGTATGAAACAATGCTTTATTAACCAATTTGCTGAGACTTTATACAGTAAATTTACTTATTATACTTACTTGATGACTAGCACACCTAAGCATAAATCTGACGCTCCTACAACACCTCTCCATTATCCTAATGTCGTTTTGGTATTTGTCAAATGCCTTGGATAAAACTGGCCATATTTCCAAAATCACTGGCTTACACGGATGAACTTCCCCTGAAACGATATATAATTTTATTTCCGACGACGGAAAGAGATACTTTCCGAAACGTTAGGTATTTTTTTGTTCGTTAGGCAAATTTGTTTATCAGTAAACTTAACTGCTGACAAGTAGTTTCCTTTGGATTAACGCAGCAATGTTTACAAAAAATAACTATTTTATTTTGTAGATTTTCTTGCAGTGCCGAAATACCCATAGAGGATTTTTTTGGAGAGATATACAAGGTTGTTCACCACATACGACAAGGAGTATTGTAGCTAAACGATTAGATTTTTACAAATTGTAAGTTTTGGGTTCGTTGAAGGACTATTAGAGCTACAATTTAAAAACATTTTTAAAAGATACAGAGTGTCCCAAATAAGTAAAAAATATAGCTGTATTTTTTTAAATGGAACACCCTGTATATTATTCTATTTTTGGATTCTACGATTGAAATAAAGGTAAATTTGATTAACGTTTATCACACTTAAACCTTACCGTTTTTGAAATATTTTCGATTTTATGAAATTGCAGTAAAAATTTTAAGGCTTCATTTCTCCAAGGGTATCAAAGTTTTTAATAATCAATATTTACTGAAGATTATTTATTGATCAGATATTGTGTTGCAATAATAAAAATTTTACTACCTTATACAGAGTATCCAAAAATTTATATTAAATAATTACTAGCTTTAAACGGCAATAACTTGTTTAATTTAAATGGAACACCCTATATTTTTTACGGGAATCAGATGCACAATGTAATTGTCTATCAAATTGTATTATACCATTTTTTACCCATCTCTTCAAGTTTTCGTAGAAAATACATTTTCTTATCATTTAGACCTGATAATCACTATACCCATGGAATATTGACATTTTAGCTTATTTTTAAAGATGTACAAATTTTTAAAGATGTAACAAATTTTCAAAGGGTACAGATACTAATATTGTCGATATAGTTGGCTTATTTAATTAAAAAATAAAAAAAACTGTTTAAATATTTTTTGTTAAAGAGGACCAATTAATATGATCCCAGTATTCAAACTACATTAATTGGCTGTTTACGCTGATTAATAATAATTGTTCCAAATACTAAAAAACTGAATTTTGTGTGTGTATTAGACAGTGTGGTAAAAGTGCCAATTTTATTTATAAAAACAGATACGATTTTCATAACTTATTATTATATTGATTTTTGAGCCAAATCCACATTTATGTAGAATACTTTATTAATTAAAACAATTAAAAAGTATGTAATTAACTAATTTTTGGTCGGAATAATGGTGGTATATTTAATTGGTATACTCTTATACAAAGATTTAAATAGTTTTTTTTGTACGCCAATGGGCTTGCAATATTTACCACCTGTACATTTTGTACATATATGGTGCTATAAAAAATCTGAAATGTCAATATTCCATGGGTATAGGATAAATGAGGTTTAAATTATAAGAAAATGCATTTTCTACGAAAACTTGAAGGGATGTGTAAAAAATGGTTTAATACAATTTGATAGACAATTAAATTGTGCATTTGATTCACGTAAAATATATAGGGTGTTCCATTTAAATTAAACAAGTTATTGCCGTTTAAACCTAGTAATTATTTAATATAAATTTTTGGACACTCTGTATAAGGTAGTAAAACTGTTATTATTGCAACACAATATCTGATCAATAAATAATCTTCAGTAAATATTTAGTATTAAAAACTCTGATATTCTATATAATTTCATAAAATTGAAAATATTTCACAAACGGTAAGGTTTAAGTGTGATAAACCTTAATCAAATTTACCTTTATTTCAATCGTAGAATAGAAAATAGAATAACATACAGGATGTTCCATTTAAAAAAATACAACTATGATATTTTTTACTTATTTGGGACACTCTGTATCTTGTAAAAATATTTTTAAATTGTAGCTCTAATAGTCCTTCAACGAACACAAAACTTACAATTTGTAAAAATCTAATCGTTTAGCTACAATACTCCGTGTCGTATGTGGTGAACAACCCTGTATAATATAAAACCAAAAATCTAACTAAACTTTTGAAAACACTTCAAACTCAATGTTGTCTTACCTTCTGGAATATTATTTACAATAACGTGTCTTAAAATGGAGCTGAGTCTGTCAAACCACATAACCGGATCAGTCTTGGTACCCTTGGTGGGGCTAACATTTTGGTCAATAAGATGGCAAAGAGGATTTACCTGCATTAAGCACAATTCACGCATTGCGGGCGTTATTTCATTCAGTGGCATAACTGCTATTATTGTACTGACACCTAAAAGAAATAAATATTTTAAAGAATATTTTAATTGTTGTTATTTAATGGCGCAGATCGCAGAGTAGCAAGGAACTCGTTGCTTGCATATTTTGCATCAACATGTCAAAAATGTTTATTTTTGGAATGCAATAAAATATAGTTTTTTGACAGTAGTACCTAATCTGGGAACTTACGTTGGGAGAAACAATAACGCATAAAATTTGATAAAAAAAGGGCGGTATTTCTATTTTTTCAAAAATATACCGCCGTATTCTTTATATACAGGGTGGTCCGAACTGTATTCCGGAAACTTCGGCAGCATATTCCTCAGATTAAAATATGTAAAAAGGCTCTTATAAATGTATGTCCTAAAATGCTTAGTTTTGGAGATACAGGTTGTAGAAATTTCATTTTTATTTCGATTTTTTCCAAATAATTTATGAAGTAACGTCAATATTTGGATGAAAATTGGTGTCTGGGAGTTTTTTGACATGAGAAATTTCATTTTCATGTTAATATAACTCCTACTTGTAGAGGGCGCCACACACATATTTTATAACTGGTTTGAAGAGTAATAACTTTTTGTCCACACCTGTATAAAACTACTGAGTAAAAAAATATACATTTACGACTTTTTTTACATAAAAAAGGTCTCTTGGTAAAAATCGCTACGAGTAATGGTTCTCGAGATATTTGCGATCAAAATTATCAATACCCGTCATCATTGACATAAATATTAAATATGTTGACTAAGTAGTTATTAGACTGAAATCATAAATTTGAACGTTTTTGTGCCAAAAGTTCGACAGAAACTGTTTAATCATAATTTTTTCGCAGAAAAATTTATGATTAATTTAAAAAAAATAAAATTTCAGTCAAATAACTATACTCAACGTGTGCTTATTTTTTGTAATAACATGTATTGACTATTTCCATTTTAAATATCTTGAGAACGGTTGCTCGTAGCGATTTTTACCAAGAGAAATTTTTTACGTAGAAAGTCATGGAAATGTATATTTTTACAGTCAGTAGTTTTATATAGCGATGGGAACTATCGAATGAATTAGACTATCGAATGGTTAATGAATGAATGATTTCAACTATCGAATGGTTTTATTCGAATAAAATCATTCATTCATTTGTAAACTAAAGCATATGTGACAACCTCGCCGTGCGACTAAATGGTTATCGTTGAGCCACGACTATCGAATGCTTTTGATAAATGAAATTTAGTATTCGTTTGGATTTTGTATGCGTCAGTGCATTATTGGTTCTTCCAAATTTTTATAACTTCGCCGTATAAATACTGTGCTATTTTTGGCGTTTATTAAAATAGTTAAAATACTAAAATAGTAGTTATTTTTTAATTTTATTTATTGACGATTGTGTGCATGTGCAGGTGGTCAAAATTTTTCCGATAATTTGTGTGGTTTTCCGTAGTCCGATCTTTCAATTATTTCATTTTATATGGTATATGGTCTATTTTTTAATGGGAAATTTTGAGAAGTAGCAATTTTTAAGAGAGATGAGATGAACTTACAATTAATTTTAAAAATACGTATTTGTATTTTAGATGTTTTAATAATATAAATTAGTTGAACTTAATAATCATATTTAAGTAATGTGGTTGTATAATCATATTTAAGTAATGTGGTTGTATAATCATATTTAAGTAAATGGTTATCGAACTCAAACTATGGGGTGAGAAAATTAAAATGAAAGTTTTACACGTGCCAATTCAAAAAAAAAGTTAACGATGTTTATATTTTGTTTATGCTAATTCTCTTACATGTAGTTTTTTGCGAAGAAAAAATATTTCATTTATTTTTTAAAGTAAATGCCAGTAAAAGTAAATATAATTTTTAAATAGTAATATAAAGCACCTAATATAAATAATTTTGATTTCTAATTTTTTATTTATATTTTCCTTCCATTACACTGCATGCTTAGAAAATTAATAAATGTTTATATTTCATGATTTTAAAATTTGTTGTTAATATAACAAATTAGTTCTGTAATTATTATTATTTAATAAACCAACGTTGCCAAAAAAATTAGAGACTATATTATTTTTAAATAGGATCTAATATAAATAATTTTGACATCTAATTTGTTGTTCATATTTTTGCTACTACTTAAAAAAATATTTATATTAAATGATTTTAAATTTTGTTGTTAATAGGTATAACAAATTATTACTGTTATTATTATTTATTAAACCAGTCTTTGCTTAAAAACATTAAAAATAATTTTCCTACATCCAAAATAACAAGTATTATTGCAGTGTAACAACAGAATATTAATAAAAAAATGCAGAATATATAGACATACTATCCCTAACTAACTAAAGCCAAACAATAATATTCTTTGCTAATATCAACTAATACAAAAATATGGCAACAGCGCCCTTCATAATGTATTTTCTGTGTAAATACTAGCACCTCAATAAAAAAAATAATGTGTCCTTATCTATATATGACTCCGCAAAAATCAAAGATGCCGGCTTCTTTCATAGCATTGCCACCGACCGCTTTCTCGGAAAAAAACCTACGTCGCCGGGCGACAACTAAAATTCAGTTAATATTTTATTATAATCGATCCTGACGAATAAATGAATTTCATAAATGAATGAATTTTATAAATGAATGAATTTTATAAATGAATAAATTTTATAAATGAATGAATTTATACAGGCATGACGAAAAGTTATTACTAATAAAACAGTTACAACACATTACCTATGGTGGCGCCTTCTATTTATAAGTACGTCGCCGGGCGACAACTAAAATTCAGTTAATATTTTATTATAATCGATCCTGACGAATAAATGAATTTCATAAATGAATGAATTTTATAAATGAATGAATTTTATAAATGAATGAATTTTATAAATGAATGAATTTTATAAATGAATGGTTTTTGCTGCCATTTTTAGGACATACATTGATACGAACTTTTTTACTTATTTTTATCTGCAGAATATGCTGCCGAATTTTCCGGAATACAGTTCGGACTACCCTGTATACCATCATACTTAAAAAATTTACCTCGTTTTTCGGCGGTATTCATGTTGATGAATATGTAAAAGCGTCTAACGGCGGTCTCTCTTTAGTATACCGTCGGCGGTATAAACATAAGTACATATAGTTTATTTTTAACGCGTATTTTGGCGCATTAAACAAGTTTCAACTAGACTAAATTAAAAATTAACTAAACCAGCCCATTTTATTTAACTTACCTTTAAAAAGTCCCACTACAGCCTCATCACTGATTCCGAAAGTGTCAATTTGGTGCAACAATTGCAAAAGAATCGGCACATGTCTAGACAAATTGTCACTGCACGTTGCGCAAATGTTCTGTAATGCATTAGCAGCTGCAGCACCTAAAAATACATAAAACATTTTCTCTTTTAAGAACTGTTCTAAACAAACAATATTTACCTAAACCAGGTTGGGCAAGAGCATGAATTAGAAAATTTAAAACTGGATCTAAGACTTGAGAATGGGATTCAATCCATTCGCATAATTCTCCTAGTAGTAAAACTGAAGTGTAACGCACTGCGATATGAGTGGTTTCTGGAATATTTATGATTGCTTCTATTACATTTGGAACGACCTCATTTTCAGAACTGAAATAGATATGTTATAAAGCGGGGAACTTACCGAAAAAATAAATTCTCAGGCATTTTACAACACCACAACCTTTACATAGTTTTTTTCTAAGAAAATAACTTGTGTACTATAATATACCGTGCTGGCAACTCTTGCTTTTGGGTCGGTATTTACATGTGTGGAAGTAAATCGCATAGGGTCGCATAAGTCGGAGTGAGAGAAACGCGACTGTGTGCTGTTGCGGCGTTGCCACATTTCTCCGGTACGCCTTTCCCTATCAAAATTTTTTAAAAAACTTTTTTTTCGAAAAGATAACTAGATAAAATCATTAGATATGTTTCTGAGCATCTAAAGTGGAATTATAAGGATATCGTTAAGGTGTTCATTTTTTATAGCGAGAAAACTCAACTTTTTAACACATAACACGCGATAACTCAAGAAGAAACTTTTTTTATTTTCAAGTTCCGATCTTTTACAAGATGTTTAAATAAGAAAATTTTGATAGGCTTGTTTTCTTTCCATTCAAAAATTTAAAAAAACCGTCCATTTACTTTTTTTCAGTTTTCAGCAATGGTGTAACTTTCTTATTTGTAAAGATTTTCACATACTGTCTGCGAAGAAAATATAGCAGAAATATTAAGAAAGTTTTTGAAAAAAACTACAATCAATTATTTCTAATGGATTTTGAAATATCGATTTTTGAATTCAGAGTTCTAATAGCGCGACCACTATCGAACACCAACTCAATTCCACTTATTTTTACCAAAAGTGCAAGTGTTTCTAACTTGCACTTAAAAATTTACAAGCTATAGGGGAAATTACAACGACTCGTTAATAAACAAACAAATAAAGTATCACGGGACGTAATTAAATCGTGAAACTGAACGCATAATGACCCTTTCCTATAATTTTAAGTACTGATTGGGTCGACCGCGAAGAATCTGCTATATCCCCTTCTACGTCTCTTAGCAATGTGTACAGGGTGAGTCAACGATAAAGTCCATTATCTCATTTGTTTCAAGGTTTACAAAAAAAAATTAAATATAAAAGTTATAGGTTAAGTTACACATTTTAAAATTATTATAAAGTATACAAGGTGCTTCAAAAAAGTGTGGCGGATATAACATATGTTTTTTTAAAAGCAACACCCTATTTTTTATTTTATTTTTAGATTCTACGTAAAATTCCATAACTTTTTTATATATGTTATATACCTAAAATTAATAGTTTTTGTAATATTTTAATTTGTTTAAACAAATGTTAAATTGCAGTGTGGTAAAAAATTGTCTGTGGTGCCATTGTTTCTGAAGTTGGAATACCAAAATTTGGTGGGAGTGTTTTATAGACATATATGTAAAGATATATGTAAAGATATTTTAGTTAAATGATACAGGGTGTTCAAAATATATTTATGAATTTAAACTACTTAAAATTAAAAAATCTCAATTTTTTTAAATGGTACACCCTATATCTTATCATTTTTTCTGATAGATTTTACAAAACTCTTCAACTTTTATTAAGTTTGTCATATACCTATTTTTAATAGTTTGCGATTTATTTCAATTTTTTCTATTTTTACCCATATTTTTAATACAATTATCCTATAAAATCATAGTTGCCATGACAAAACAAACCATTTATTACTTAATAATTAGTTACAACTGCTGGTATTAGTTAAAGTTAATTAACTTTACTCAAATAAACTAAAATCGTAGTCGTGAATTTCTTGGTGTATTTCTATATTATGAAAGAGAACACTTGGATTTTCCGTCGGGGCGAATAGCCACAGATTAAGGTAATACTAGATTACCTCATTGTTGAAGAATACTGATATAAGAATTTTCTTCGACATACAGTAAAGTTTTTTTCTCGTAGTAATTCTGGTTTATAATTCATTTGGTAAAGCCAATATTACTACTGCTGTGAAACCGTCCCATTACACACTGAAGATGTTTTCTAGATAATCTACATCTATTCTTATACTCCTTAGCAAAGTACCATATAGTATATAGTACTGAACGAAAAAATATGTTTTTCTTGGCTTGTTCGTGTATATCAGTCATATTGACCAATTCGTTTCAGGAAAATCTGTAACTATTATCTCCACCATTTATACTTATTACAACAAATTAAACTAAAATTCAAATTTTGTCCTTAACTTGCTTAACAGACAAGACATTTTGATAATTATTACTTTTTGTCATGGCAACTACTATGATGTTATAACGTAATTGTATTAAAAATATGGGTAAAAATAGAAAAAATTGGAATAAATCGCAAACTATTATAAAAGTTGAAGAGTTTTGTAAAATCTATAAGAAAAAATGATAATATATAGAGTGTACCATTTAAAAAATTTGAAATTTGTTAATTTTAAGTAGTTGAAATTCATAAATATATTTTGAACACACTGTAGCATCTAACTAAAATATCTTTACATAGATCTTTTTCTATATCTCTATAAAATTCTCCTACCAAATTTTAGTTGTCCAACTTCAGAAACAATGTCATCACTGACAATTTTTTATCACACTGCAATCTAACATTTGTTTAAACAAATTTAAATATTACAAAAACTATTAATTTTCGGTATATAACATTATATATAAAAAAGTTATGAAATTTTACGCAGAATCTAAAAATAAAATAAAAAATAGGGTGTTGCATTTAAAAAAACTATTGTTACGGATTCCGTGGGTCCACTATTTAAACTCACGATAAAATACTTAACGAATTTATTTGTCTCACTCTGTACACACAACTTATACTATTTACAACACAACTTATGCAACTACTATTACTCTATCGGTATTTCGCGGTATTATCAAACTTCAGACTTCAGACTATCTTCAGACTTCAAACTTCCAACTTGTCCAATTGTCAAAGCGCGGGCCTTATATACCCCCTGGCGGTTGTTTCTAGATTTTTCTAAAAAATTCTATAATTTTCTTTACTTTCTGGCGAATGCGCCAGGTTCCTCAATGCACGTTGCGATTATTTAGCAGTATGCAGTTATGCAACCAGTAATACACCTTGACATTGCCCCCTTCTCAAATTTGATCGTCCCGATCAAGGTTTCCTGTCTGGTATCTCTTCAATCGATCCAGATGAACTACTTTCATCTTACTTCTAGGGCTGCGTTGAATCCGGTACACAACATCATTTATCCTCTTGATGACTGTATTAAGGACCTTCCCATGCTGGAGTTAACTTTGGGGACCTTCCTTTCTTGCGCTGTGGGTTATACAACCATACCCTATCGTCCTGTTGAAATCCTGTAAACGAATTAGCTCTGAGGTCATCGTAACGAGCTTTCATCCGGTCACTGGCTAGCGTAATTTTACTTCTCACGGCCTTATGAATTCCCAATAATCTTTCCTTCCTATAACGATTCTTTCGAACGACAGTCCAACGTTATCTTGTTCCATTTTCCTCCAGATCGAGTACTTGGTCCTTGTCTAGCTGCGCAAAATCTTACAACGTTGACACCATTTCTTAACATCTTCACAATAATCCACCCAGTAAAAAACGGTCTCTCAAGCTTGCTCAGGTCTTGTTTACCCCAAGATGGGCTCCAGTTTTTACCACCATGAATTTCTTCCAATACCTGGGTAACTTTCTTCCTTGGTACCAGCAGTAACTGAGTTGTTACTGTGCTGCCATCCACTTTCCCATGTGCGCTTTAACAATCCATTCTCAATAATCCAGTGAATTCCATTGAGCCCAGAGAGCTTTGGAAACGAGCCCCTCTGTCCGCAATATCCTGCCACGGTGGTCTCTCGCGTACCTTTCCTTGAGCCGTAGTATTGCTCGATGTCTGGATCTTCCATTTGATCTTTCCTCAATTGTATCGTCGTCCATGGTTCGTCAGTTCTAAGCTTAAAATTCCTTATTCTAATAGTGCTTTCGCGATGTTTCATTTTCTTGTCCAAGGTAGCTCGTCGTCGATCTAGGTCGTTGTCGATAATTTGTACCCCGTCCTACACGGCACCCAGCGGTTTTCTCTAGTTTCCCGAACACAGTATTCTTGGTATCACCAGGTATCATCACCAATTTTCGATGATCTTTCTTCCATATTTCCTGGTCTCTTCTCTTTAGATACAGAAAATTCCTCATTTCCGATTTTCAGGATGTTTCTATGGTGATCAAACGAAAAACCATATTGACTGATCACATCCATACCCATGATAAAATCATCTTCAATGTCTGCCACTAAAACGCTATGCCGAAACTTCAAATTCCCTAACTCCAATTCCATGAAAGCCTCTCCCCGTACAACGGCCATTTCCCCCGTAACTGTACGTAAATACACTCTTCTTCTAAGGGGCATCATCTTCAATCCTTGCACTGAGTAGGGATGTCGATTCTTTCTAAAAAAAATCGATCTTCGATTCGATTTGAATCGAAAGCATTGGAATCGATTCTCGATTAAATCGAACATCGAAATATCGATGTTCGATTAATCGAATCGTTAGTCTTTGTAGTTTGATTTGGTTTACTGTTTACATTTTTTCCAAAAATCAAAAACAATAATAAGGGAGTATATTGAATAAACTATAGTATCTACTTGGCATTTATTAATTTACATTTCCCAATAATTGAAATCAAGTGATTTTAAAAAAATTAATTTATCTAGCCGCTCAGGATCTAAGCGACTCCTTTCATCACTTGCAATATTTCCCGCAACAGAAAAAAGTCGTTCACAAGGAACAGATGTTCCAACTACACAGAAATACCTATTAGCAATTGGCCTTATTGAACTATAAAAGGAATGTTTGTGATTGTGCCAGTATGAGATGGGATTGGTAGTGTTGAGGTCGACTACAGGCTGGGCCAAATAATGCTTGAATTCATCTTGCAAACCTTCTCCTTGAATCTCTTGAGAAATTGAATGACGCTGATTTTTCACCAATTTATTATGGAATTCCCAAATATTAGGCTCCTCTGCTTCTGTAATCTGGGGTTGAATATGGGCTGAATTTTCATGAGTTACATCTTTTTCTAACTGGTTTTTGAA